TTTAAAATTATAATCGAGTTGGGTCGTTTATATACCGGCGGCAGAGAAGCAGAAAAATAAATTTATTTGAATTATAAATTGTAATTAAAATAGAACTGTGTTATTTACTGTTTACCGTAGTATCCTTAGCTGCTGTCTGATGTGTGAATCTTCATCCTCACACTCAAAATACTAGTGATACCATGATTGAAACTAAAGTAATACTTATTCTCTTATTTTTGTACAGTTATGGATACAACAATTATAAATTATGCATTCTGTTACACAACTATTTTACTGAGGTACACAAGAACACATCATAAGTATTACGATGATTGTGCTCACAGAGGCGCGCATGGGTCGTGGTTGTTCAAGAGTACGCGGAGACACAAAACCTCCCCACTTCACGACGCTGATATAAAAGATCCGTTACGTGGGGAAAAGCGCCTCTAGAAAAGTAAATATTCATGACCGCAATTCTAACTTAGCCAACAAATAGGAAAAAAAACATTAGTTGCTACAATAAAATCATTGTCAGTACTAAAATTGCCAATGAGAGAATTTTTTTTGTATGTCTGCCGTTGTTATAGAACATCTGAAGCTGAATTATAATTTACAATTCGAATAAGTTTTGTTATTTTTGCTGCAGGCAACTGTCGGTTCAATGTTTGTTTTAATTTATTCTCGAATTCATCTTATGCAGTTGAACCTTTATCTATATTCAAACTCCTAATAGGCAACTCATGTAAAAAAAATTAAAAAAGAGGACAAAAAAAGAAAGAAAGAGAAAGAGAAATAAAAGAGAGGAAAGAACATATAAATTGGCATCTTTAAAGAAAGACAAACAAATGTAAACATAATGAAGAGAATGACATATGATAGGAAAAAATAATTTGACAAAAAGACGATATCAAGAGAAAAACGAGAAACGGATGATTGCTGTCGAATGTCTCTAGGAATTCAGCATAGTATCTGATATTTTCCACATTGACAATTGCTACTCAGTTAGATAAACCGTGATTTGATAATCAAATTAAGATACAGCCAAAAACATCTATATAAAAGACCAATCGTTTAGAACCATAGAGAGAATGAATCGATCTAGTTCCTTCTTATCGTACCAAATAATTCATGTTTTAGCACGATTATGCGAGTATCAGGTAATCACTCAAGGATTTAACCACTTCTTTAAGATATTTGATTCAATATCCATAGCATAGATCATCAAGTAGACGCTCATCATAAGTGAATGCGAATAATAAAAGTACTAAAATTTGTTCATACCAAATCTGTGAACAGGGTCACGAGCACAGAAATCCATGTGAAAAAAGATAATACGAATGTTGAGAATAAGATTTAACAAAGTCTAGTAGAAGTTGATCTTGCAGGTCTATTAGGATTAACCATAGCAATTTGTTGACGAATTTTGATTTGAGTACCATGAATGACCTTTCTCCAACCAAACTTTATCGTTATCTAGTAGCTCAAATACTTATGGGTGAATCCGCGGGGTTTCTACCACAATTTGGAAAAAAATTCTTTTTTTGATTTTGATATTCTAGTTAGGCGTAACATCATCGAAAACGATTAGAAGTAATAGTAAAAACTTCTTTTGGTACATAAAGTTTGGAGATCCAGATCATCTTTTAGGAACAACTCAATGTATTTATAATTGGATATGTTGAGTGCTTCAACTACGTTGCAAAATGATGAAATTTTCAACGTTTGTAGAGCTTTTAATTCTAAGCATTTTGATAAAAAAAATTTCTGAAAAGCTTTTATTTTGTACGAAATAGATTCAAAATACTATAAACACTGAAGGAAACTAAACAACAATTTATCAAAAATTTCGCAAAAAATCTTTTTTTTTGAAAGTTTTTGGTTTTTCATTGCTCAGAGTGTTCTGACGAGGGAACCACCCGAGGTGTTAAAAAGCTTTTGAGCTGAAATTTTGCCGACAAGTAGGGGATGCATAGACTAGAAAAAGCCTAAAAGGACATGGGCCCAAATTGGGATTTGACTGAGATATCGACTATTTACCATAATCTTCCTATAGGACCCTACCTGTCCGATAAAATCAAAGTTTTGAATTTAGGCCTGAAACTTTGTCCACACCAAGGCCTCAATCAGACAAGTTTGCCTACAAGGTTTCAGAACTCTGGGATAGACTATCTCCGAGATATGAATCTGCCAAAATATCTATGTGAAACATGATATCCATAAAAAAGCATCTTTATGCTAACATACTAGTATCTCGGAGATAGCCTATCCCAGAGTTCTGAAACTTTGTAGGCAAGCTTGTCTGATTGGGGCCTTGGTGTGAACAAAGTTTCAGGCCTAAATTCAAAACTTTGATTTTATCGGACAAGTAGGGTCCTATAGGAAAATTATGGTAAATAGTCGATATCTCAGTCAAATCCCAACTTGGGCCCATATCCTTTTAGGCTTTTTCTAGTCTATGCATCCCCTACTTGTCGGCAAAATTTCGGCTCAAAAGCTTTTTGACACGTCGTGTGGTTCCCTCGTGAGTTTATTTCCGACAAAATAACAGCTGTTTGAAAATTTTTTTTGTCAAAATGCTTCGAATTATAAGTTCTACAAACGTTGAAAATTTCATCGTTCGGCAACGTAGTTGAGGCCCTCAACATATCCAATTACAAATACATTGAGTTGTTCCTAAAAAATAATCTGGATCTCCAAACTTTATATACCAAAAAAAAGTTTTTACTATCACCTCTAACCGTTTTCAATGATGTTACGTCTAACTAGAATATCAAAATCGAGAAAAAAACTTTTTCCCCCAAAGTGGTAGAAACCCCACGGTTTCACTCTTATATGATTTCACCGATTCGATGGAATGATCACGATATTGGAAGTCAGACATAGAATTTGAGCATCTGAAAGCTGGTGTAGCCTACACCACTTGCGTTCTAAATAATTAATCGCCTGAACAACTGGAATCGATTAATATTGTAAGTGGCCAAAAAGCAGATGCAGTCACCATTCAAGACTAACGCATTATTCAGTACATCTAATTCCTATTTGATTGGTGATAGCAGGTGTTAGATCACCAACAAAGGAAAAAAGACATACCCATTGAAGGAAGGTCTTCTATATTAGCATGATACGTGAAGAAGAGCGCTGAAGTAAAACTACACCTTTGCGGTCTAACTCGACGATATGGCAACGAACGGGATTGTTTGCCCTGAATTTCGATTGTGACGAGTCATGCCATATAAAAGACCGTCTCTTGGTATGATTGTTCACAGACCTACGGTCATGGGTGCTTAGAATTTCTTACAGATTCATATGCAAAACGTCTTAAAGGAAATTTCTCCACATTGAGATTTAAAGCGATCAAGTTTCTTTGGGCTAGAAATTCAGCTAATCAAACTTCAAGTTGTGAATTCAGCGAATCGGATCACTTTAGACTGAAATTGAATCCACAATGCTTCTACACACTGGAAAGTTTCCCAAGTGAATTGGTTGAGATTAAGTTCAGACCCAGTGAGATATTTTTTATGCTATGAATTCGACTTATCAGATGCTTTGGCTATCAAGGGCATACAAAATCGCACATACTCATAACACAAACTCAACTACTATGTATCTTCTTGATATCTAAGCATTGATTGAAAATATTTCGTTTCTTTACTGTTGATTAGTCAAAATCATCTTGATACAAGTGAAATTAGTTAATATTATTAATGGTATTTTCATTCATTCTTAACATCTTCCAAATAGAACATATACAGTGTGATGAACTTTATATGTAGTGTTCCGTGACCTGTGTGTATTACATAACAGCTATATCATACTATTCATATCTAATAGTATATGTACTCAATTCATTGAGCACTTTATATAGTGTTGAGATTGATTTTGTAGAACTGTTGAGAAACATGAAAGATAGAGTTACAATAATCATCAGCATTAATCAGTCACCATTGAACATGTAAAGAAGAATTTTACCTTGTAAAAGTTGAAAAGCTATTTCAATCTATTGTTCGCGACAATAGGACAATGCGCTATAAAATATTCATATCCAACCTTACTTTTAGTTATGCTTCAGTTTGATTCGAAAGATGCTCGATGATAAATATAGTAGTATTCATTGAAGTTAGAGATTCAAGATAATATTTCATTCTATGCCATGTCCTCATACTTATTATGATACGAAAATGCTTTATGAATGATGTTTATCCATAGTATGATCACCGCAATACATCTCAAAATACGATTGAATATTGTTGAATTTTGATGAACACAAGAGGATGAAATGATCAATAACCTGCATTAGCTCCTATTCATTTCGATTGTTTACTTACAGAAAAGAAATTGAACTTTGGTAGATAGGAACTATTGAATTCACCTATGTATCTAATGATTGTTTCAAAACAATTTCATAGCACAAAGATTTTGTGGCTCAATCGAGAGTTAAGTGAGTCGGAGCAATAAGCGTTACTTTCATCATAGACCATTATAACAATTATTTTCAAAAGCTGACATATTATATAAATATAAGCATCCATAAGTTTATATTCTCTCTTGTCGTACAGAATTTAATGTTTTCAATTTTTAAAGCAATGGGAAAAACTAATTAAATTAGACAAAAATGGAGACATTGTATAATTATATTAGTACTATTTGTAATTCAATAAATATATACGTATATATATATATCGCATTATTCATCAAGTTCAAATAGTCTTTAACACAATATATTTTCTAATTGAGTCATCAATCTTTAACTGTTAAAAAATCAAACACTATTGCATAAGAACATTGCAATCAATCTAAGAATAATTTATAATTTATCAATTACTGTAAGCTATTCTTCACGTTCAAATTGTTCCTTTTATCTATTCCACAGAGTTTGTTAAATTATTATTCTTAAATGATTACTTGTAGCATGTAAAGAATAGACTCAAGTAAATTCTTGTTTCTACAAATGATCCTTTTAGTCTACGAAGAAAAACTGGTTACTGTACACTTTTAAAGGGATATTATAAAAAATTATACTAACCTGTTAAAGCTTTATATTGGTAGAGAAGTTCTATTGGAACAGTACCATCTAAAACCAAATTTCGATATGAAAAGTCGATCTTGAGTTTTTTCATCGCACGGGACTATAATGCGAAAAAACTTTTTAAAAGGTTGCTCATTAAGTGAATGTTCAGAAAACAAGAATTTTACTATGCTCTTTTTCTGTAATTCCACTTCCACCATCGACTATTTGTGTAAGTCCCACCACTGCGAAACTCAATAGCAATCAATTTATCTATTCCCCGACTTCGCAAATCTATGCGGCTGGCATGTTATACAATCAATTTGGTATCGGTAAAGCTTATAGTTATGGAAATGTCACTTCGATAGCAGTTTGGACAGCAGGCCAGAGCTCAACGTCTCAAACATGCTATCTGGCAATACAAACAGACCGTAATCTAGTTGTTTATACATTGACTAGTACTGTGTTGTGGGCAGCTGGTACCTACAGTTATGGTAGTGGAAATCCATTCTGTTTCCAAATACTAGATTCGGGAAATCTGATATGGACTGATAATTCTGGGACGATTATTTGACAGACAAATACTGCACAAACCGGATAGCTTCTTCCTATCCTCTCTTTACGGAAATGAACCTAACGAACTCAAAGTGAATCTTCGCTGATAGCCTATCGATAACTTACAGGAAAAATAAGATAATCATGTACCTCATTCGGCTTATAAAATTCTGAAGAAGGCTTACGTCAAAACTCAAATCCTAAATTATGAAAATTCAATAAAAAAAGGAAATAAATACTATCTACCACGGACAAAATTAACACAACACGTATTTTTGATAGATATTATCATTAACGGTCGACCACGAAAAATATAAGTTTTTCAAAAATTGTTTTCGTCTATAGAACTTTCGAGAGCTCGTTTCACTGATCATTTTGGTAGAAAAGATATTCAAATTTACTCAATAAATAATGGCATTAGAGTCAAAATACTCAAAACTTACGGCTGTTCGTGACCACTGCTGAGTAGTAGGTGATATTTTTGAGTATTCTGAGCCAAGGTTCGTTATTTATTGAGTAAATTTGAATATTTTTTTTACCAAAATGATCAACGAAACGAGCTCTACAAAGTTCTATAGACGAAAAAAATTTCTGAAAAATTTGTATTTTTTCGTGGTCGACCGTTAATGATAATATCTATCAAAAATACATGTTGCGTTAATTTTGTCCGTGGTAGTATGTAAGGTTCTACAAGACATTAAAAAAGAGCACTCATCAATAAAAAAAAAAAGAAAAAAAAAAACCAAATGTCTGCTCAAAATATAGAAATAATAAGGATAGCGTTTACTAATAATTGATTATTGTTGGAAAAAAAGTATGATCTTTTACAGATTTTTCCCTTTACATATTTTCTATAGCATAATGAAACTAAATAAGACGTGTCAGTTCCACATTTCCACCCCAAAGAGGTTGCACTAACAAGCTTTTCGTTAGAATTTTCAGGAGTATCTAATGTTATAAAACTTATTTATATACAAAATTTCAAGCCAGAACTCTTCATTTTGACTTTTTTTTGGAAATGCATGGTTCTAATAATAAAATTTCAGTAAACCAGCTATGAATCTTCTTCAATAGATCATTAGAACGAACCATTTAAGGCTTTTTCTTAACTCAATATGACCTATCAAACCATAATATGAATGAATTAAAACGGGGCAAGATATATTGGCTATATTTCCTCGTAAGATCGTTCATTCGAGTGAGATGTACGTAAAAGATGAGGAGCTAAATTTATTTGATCTCACATCAATCTTTTACTCGAATACAAATATTCAGAATAAAATGCATTTTATCTGTGTTTAGAGTTACATTAGAAATCATCAAGTTGGTTTCATTCTATCAGTATTATATGTCTTCTTGTCTTAGAACATTTACAACAATAGTTTATACCAAGAGACCATAGTGTTCGATGTAATTCGTTAATTAGAAGCATTCAATATACTTACTACAAACCGTGCTTGTCAACATTGAAGGAAGAAATAATTGTTTCCTCTCTCCCAATAATTGACAATTATCCGTTATCATCGAAAAAATGACCAACAATTTTCGAATTGTTTATCTTATGAGACGTTTTCTTAAATATTACCCTAAGACTCTTTCGTCGCTACAATATTGTAGTTCTTGTTCGACCACTGATCATAAGACTAATTAAAATAATATATTTACAGTTGCTAGATATAGAACTTGTTTCGTTGTTTCATGAGAATCTTATCACAAAACACATTATATCACAAAATAGTGATGTGAAAATATCAAACTTTAATTAAAAATCAAGAAAATAAATTTTATTAAACAAAATCAAATAGAAAAAAAATGTCCACTCCGTTATTGATTTCTTCCATTGTCACTCTTTTTAATAAACTAAAAAAATACAATTATTTATGTTCAACGAAAACTTCCAAAACTAAAACCATTAAAAGCAAAAGAAAATTTTCTTAAAGAGCTCTAATTTCTTTATTGAAATATATTATTGATAAATAGAACAGAATCGTCAAATTATTTTGACATTCAAAAAAACTAAAAATGAACGTTATTGAAGACATCAAGCATCTTTTCTCTACTAAACACTCTTCTCTCATTTCATTTGATACCATTTATTGACAGTTTTTTTGACACAGTATTATATCACGTGATTAAGCAGATGTTGATAGAAAAATAAAATTATTTCAGTTTTGCGCTGACACGTTGAATGTCTTTTTCAATTTCAGTTACATTAGTTTGTTGAAGCGGCAACGACTGACGATAGATAATGGCTGCTCTTTTATAGTATTCTAGCGCTTCTTTCCAGTTACGCGTTGTCTCATATAACAGGCCTATGCTTTTATTACTCGAAGCGATATCTGGATGTTGGGGAGGTAGTGATTTGATTCTAATATCGAGCGATGTTCTGTAATGGTTCAAAGCAAGCTGATGTTGACCAGTAACTCGATAAACATCACCTATGCCACTATGATTTAAAGCCGCATCTGGATGAGTAGAACGTGAATTCTGTTGTAGAATATCCAATGAGCGTTGATAATTGTTCAATGCCTCTGGATATTGCTTTTGAGCATAATGAACACGAGCAATACCATGATACAAAGAAGCCGTATCTAGATGATTTGTAATATTCCCTCGCTTGTAGCAGTCCATTGCTGCACTGTAACATTTCATTGCTTGATTAAAATCATTCTTTTCCATATGAATATTCCCAATACAACAGTGTAGACCACCAATATAGACAAAATCAGATGCATCTATTCGAATTCTCCTGTCCAATGCTCGTTGAAACCATTGTAGACTGCGATCAAAATCCTTTCTGTCTTTGTAAAGTCTACCAAATGACACACATAAGCGAGAAAATGAAGCATCGTCGGAAGAACACTGGTCGTGCAGGCCGGAATATATTTTCTCTGCCAAATCATATTTTCCCATATATTGCAGTACATTACCGAACGTTTGAAGATCTGTTTCGTTCTCGTCAACTCCATAATCTGATTTCAATTGATCGAAAAGCTTCTTCAAATCATCGTCATTATTTTCCGCTAACTGCATTTTAATTATCCAAATTTTTTCACTATCATCTCGATAAATATTGGTCAAACGAAATATACATCCAACCATAAATAATATTTCACTCTCATGACGGAAGTAACTGAGTGAAGTGATATCAGCAAATGGCTTTGATTTAACCACATGAGGATCAGCTTCAATCTCAAATAATATTCGATGTAAATCATTTGAAACGGTCGAACGATTCGAGAATCTCAATGCTACATCACGATCAGCACTAGTCGAAAAAAATGAATTAATTGAGATGAATTGACCGATCGATTTTTTAAGATCATTCAATTCAACAATAGACATAGCTTGATAACGGTACACAGTCACAAGGTTTTCACATTGATATTTTTTTAGTCTTTGATAAATGTCACGAATTACAAAACGAAATAATAGTAATAATTCAGTGTTCTGTATTCGTAAAGCTTTGTTTAACATACTGTATACAAATGCATCACGAGTATACCACCATAAAGCTTTTCTAGATTTATAGTCACGTTCGAATTCACCAACAACGGCCAGTTGAGGTTCGTTGTCATAATATTCATCTTTGCAAAATTGAATAAGTTTTTTCTTGTCAGCGTCACTAGATTTCATTTTAATAAGAACATCAATCAATAATAGAGAATGAATAAAATGACCATTGAGTTCAGTTGTTGTCTTATCTAAATTACCACTAGCATTGTAAATATTCATAGACATTGGTTCTTCTACTTTTCCTCGATCTTTTTGATCCATTGTGATTTGTTGAACGAGATCATCAAGTGAAACAATGACACCTTTTATCTTCGAGCAAACAAATGAAGATGATTAAGAAATCGAAAAAACGATAAAGAGCTTCTTACTTTACTAAACTGTTTAGCCCAATGTTTATATGCTTTTTTGTCCCAACAGTAGATATAAACATCAGATAGTTGCCGAAGATCATGAATCTGAGGAATTAATTCCTTGCCTAATCGTCCACTACTGATAAGAACGATTCGATCTTGTTCAGAGCAAGACTTAATATATTGTTGACATTCATTTTGATCCTGAAATATTTTGAGATAATTGATGATTGAACGAAGTCGCTTTTGAGCACGCCTATTTTCTTCTTTTGTATTGACTTCTGCATCAAGCCAAAGAAGAGAAAATGTTTCCAAATTATCACCGTGTTTTCTAGTGACTGTATTATTTGCAGCAGCCATGTGTGTATGAATAGTAATATTCGAATCAAATATTTTGATATAAATATTTTGTCCTTCTCGGTTTTTTATTCAGTGCAGTATGACGTGTCAGTCTACATGTATATTACACTTCCTTTCTGCTTGGTTTTTTCATCATTTTTGTATCGTATAGGTAATCATTACTTTTTCTTAATGAAAAGTTATTGATGTATGAAATATACAGACAAACACACGCACATGTTTTCAACGACCAATAAAATCATAATTTTTGAATGCTTACTTGTTATTTATCTATACATTTTGACTATATGACTAATTGAATGAGAAAATGCAATTTATTTACATAAATATTCCCACCTTGTAATTATGTACATGTATTCAAATTGTACAAAAATATTTTTGTTATTCTTTGGTATTTCATCAAATCAAGTAATACGTCTCTAATTTTTATTAATTTTTTGAAGTAAATCTTTAATAAAAATAAAATGTTTCTTTTATCTTTGGAGATAAATTAATCTGTTTTTATTTAAAAGCCGACTGATGAATGTTTCTATGTTATGTCAAAATGCCAAAAAAAAGAGTTTTTGATTATTGAGAACTCGAATTAATACTAGAGTAGATCGAATACATGCTTCATAACATTGAAAGAATGGTCAAAAAATAATTGTCAAGATAGATAGACGAAAACTGAAGCTATTATTCGGTCAACAATCTCAAAAATAGTTTTAATTTTATGTACACCAAAGAATATAATAAGAGACTATGGCTATGACTCTCACTTTATCTTATAATCAAATAATGATTAAGAATTGTAGACGAAAGAATAGACTTTAATTAAATGTATTCTTCTGATAATAAGAAACTTTCTTCAGCAATGAATAAATCCGACGTAATAAATAAAAGAATCCAATATTATTTGTGTTCAGAATAATGAGAATTCAATAATGGCTTGTATGTTTAGGTATATTATGAATACAAGTGTACACAAGAAAAGCTCACAAGATATAGATCCTTTCATTTAGAAAATAATAGCCATGCTTAAACTTGAAAATTACTAAAATAAAAAAACTTTGTTTTTTAATTATATACATCAGTCCATTGATCATATTTGACAAAATTCATTCAATATTTATGCTTCTAAAAATTTAATTATTGAATATCAAAATGAAAAATAATAACTTTCAAAAATCATTTATTACTGAGTTCGAATAAAATTGAAAAAATCTTACTAGCACAACGCTGTGTGTGAAACTAAAATACGAAATTCACTACCTATATTTTATTAAATCACTTGTAAACTATTATTGCAAGTAACAGCTTCAATAAATTACTATGATTTGTAAGAGTTGTTTGTAATTGCTAGTTGGAAAAAATGAAATGTCTGAATCAGTGTAGCTTTCAAAATGAGAACAAAAATTAATTCAATGAATACAAAAAATGTTCGCGGTTACGGAAGCAGAAAGTTACATTAACTTGATTTTTATGGTACACTTCAATTGTAAACATTTTTTTTTAACTAACAAGTAATCAACATATTTAACTACAATAAAATATTTATTGATATCCTGACGAGAAGGATCATTTCTAAATTCTTGCTTTCAAACATAAATTGCAGAATATTATCTCTTCGCCTATTCATATTCTATTCTTATTTTAATCCAGATAATCGAATTTAAACATTTTCTGATAATATAAGATCATAATCTAGAATTTGTATCAGTTAATTGATAACTACATTATTTTTAGAATAATGGCACGAGAACAAGATTTGAAAGACTAGATATAAACGACTGAATCGTTCTAATCTTCACGTGTTAATCTATACAAGTAATTGCTATATAAAATGGCCTTTTCGACTGTTTCACTCATTGACTAAATGATTTTTGTGTTCATAGTTTAAAATATAATATGATTTTTATTCTTACTCTTCTATCTTTATATCGTCAATAAACAGTATTTATAATAAAATATTACAAGAAATAATGAATCGAAGCGTTTACAATATGAACATAGGCTCGAATCAGAGCAAAGAGACCTTAGTTGTCAAAATGCTTCAATACATAGATAGTTTTATTTTGTTTCGTATATCTCAATGATCAAACGAACTAGAATGATCTGGTTTTGTTCAGATTACAGTTCAAATTCTCTCGAATACTGAAAGCAAATTTCATACCAATCATGTAGATTCTGTGGTTTATAAATGAGCTTGATGCATTTGTATAACACTTGATGCGATGTAGAAATGAGCTAAGACCATAGGAAAGCCAGAGAGAGAGAGAGAGCAAAGTTATCTAGCGGACTAGCGAACAACTGCACAAGAAATCAAACTCACTACCGACATTCACATAAGCATGTTGAACAAAATCAAGTATGATGTAAACAAATATAGTTGAAAAAAATCTAGCATACGATACACGCATATTTCCAACATTCGCGTACGTCTTAGCAGTCTTTATCTGAACATTTTCTCTTTATGATTATCATGTGCCATATTATCTCATCAATGAAAAAACAAAAGAATGAGAATTGAGCATTAACGTTTACAACGTCATAGTTCGAATACTGAAAAATGATACAAATAACTAATTCGATCTAGTCGATTTTAGAAGGAAAGTACGATTGAAATCAGTTGACATTAATAATTATCTGTATCATCTCTACTTTTCATTAAGACAAGCATCATCGGAATGAAATGAGTGTCAATATTGAATATCATTGCGGTAGTATTTTGAAAACTAACACTAGAATCACTTGTTGAATTTTTATCCAAAAGGCTGCTGAAAACATTTAGATTACATTTATTACAGGTGAGTCATGAAATTGATGGCTATAGACATATTACGACGAACTTTAACTTATGGCATACGAGATATACGTTCAGTTTTGGAAGAAAGCAAGATGATTCTCATGGATCACATACTTTCTCAAACTGACTGCAAATCTCAATGAAAACTATGTTATCTTGCTAGTAATAACTCCATGTCTTTCTATCACGTCTATTTTTTTACGATAAGATTCCGTCTACAAATGGGCTTTTTTTCACAGATATGCTTGTCATACTGTTTTTCAAGATGCCGCATACTTAGCGACTGATCGATTCTCTGCGTTCGTTCCATTATCTTGACCACAATATTCGCTGTAAGGTTTGTATCTGTGATGTTGTTCTCCATTCAAGCCAGAATTCTAGTGATGCTGATATGCATGTGGGTGTGGTTGTCAATGTGAATATGTGAGTTTGAGTGTGAATGTAAGTGTAGATGAGTTGGGTGAGATAAGATACCAGATTCATAGACTACACATCCACACCCTCAGTTTATATTCAAGAAAAGACTTAGATAGGATTAGTGAGATATTTCTTCACTGAAGATAGAGGCTGCTATGAGTAAATAACAAAACTTCCATCAGTTTCTGTTGAACTTGTAGATGGAAAGATTGAGGTTGCAAAGCATCATTGACATTGCCCGTTACTTTCGTTTAGCTATATTTCATTCTTCCTATCTGTAAAATTAGTATATCGTTGAAAGTATGACTGGTTTCAAAATGCACAAAAGTTTGGATATTGGGTAGTCAATGTTAGCAATGAAGAATATGTGCTAAAAAGTGACAATATAGTTTTCAAAATCGTATGAGAGTTCAAAATGTGTCCAACCCAATCTTGAGTTGAATGTATTTGAAAAGGAAGAGAACAACAATAGACATCAGCAAGAACAACGATGAAACCAACAATATGTAAATATGAAATGATTTCGAGTTTTGTGGATTTTTATTACTTGACTATGGTTGAATTCGATTGTAACAGCAATAACAAAGCACTTTGACAACAAATGATACAACAATTTTCACTATGGTTGTTAGCCCTCTGTTAAATCAAATAGTAGTGCTAATCATAACAATCCATACGTTTTTGTGTACATATGAGTGAATACATATGTTCGATCACCATATGCCATGTGTCATAGTATATTAGCTCCTTAAGTTTCATGAATCTGTCTGTGAGAGAAATTTCGTTAAATTATCATATTGAAGATACTCATAGTGCAGTTCTTCTATGTTCAGGGTGGGATGTGGGTGTAGATGTAAATAGATTTGGTGCTTGTGCAACCAATTACATGCTTTTGACGTATGAGTCCGAGTGAGATGGTCGTGGATAAGAGTGTGGGTGAGTGTAGGAGATGATATGATCAGCAGATGCACCTACATCAACACTCACATTGCACACACCTACCCACAGACTCGACGTCGTTTTATCAAATACGACACTTAGTTTTCTTTTACTATTAAATTTAGTTTTATCGATTTTTTTCTGAAGTGATAAAATGTCTGTGCTGTTCACTCATACATTACTGACGATAATACATTTAACAACATTTATGCATAAACTAAAACAACAAAAAACGTTTGATCACTTTTTTTGTACTGTTATTTTATACTCGGATGATGATTTTTAAAAATAAAAATAAATATTTGGTCTTTTTTATTGATAACTAAATAATTTATTCGATTTATTTTTTCAAATATTTTTTAATTTCTTCAAACGATTGATTTAATTTTGCTAACTCTTCTTGTATTTGTTGTTTACTTTCTTCAAATGATTGATTTAATTTTGCTAAATCATTTCGTATTTGTTCTACATTATTAATTGAATTATTTGAATCATCTTTATTATCATTTATATTTTCTCTTTTTTCAATTTTATTAAGATCTGATCCTTTAGTTGATCTAAATTAAGCAAAAACTTCATTAAAATCTTATCTTTTATTTTTCTCTTCAACTTACATCATTGATGTAGTTTTTGATGTCTTTGCTTCTGTATGAGCATATTCATATGTTGATGCACCTTCAAATTCATACCAATCTTTAATAAAACTTTTATTTATAGGAATTATTTCTAGAATTAATATTTAAATCTTAAAGAATAAAATTAATTAGCGTTAACTTACTAAATACTTTCGCTCGACGATCTGCTGATTTTTTAATAACTCGTCTGATAGCAAAGATCGTTATACGACATAAATGGTATATATCATAAATAAGACTTATTGGTGGAAAAAATGGTGAGCGTGTAAAATATTCACGTGTAAATAAATATTGTTGAGAATGCCAAATACTTTGTGTATCATTATGTACTTGATCAAATCGTTTACTTTAAAATATTATTTGATTCTAATAGTTCTCTATTATATCTAGTGCTTACCTAAACATTGCAATAAGCAGATTAATAAGTAGAATATTGACAAGAAGCATATGAGCAGCAAGTAATACATGTGTTGAAATTGACCAACCAGCATCAGGGTAGGCTATTTAAAAAACGATTTTATAATGACATTTATTCTTTACCCAGGTCGATCTTTACGGAGTTTGCATACGCTCATAACATACGTTCCGCATTTTTCCGTGTACTAGCATATTGTGATGGTTCACATGACTCAGTATTACGATCGTTTATTGTCGTGATTGTATACAAACAAATACGGAGCAAACTGAAGACTATATACGGAGATCATAAATAACTATCTTTTTTTTCTCCGTATATGGTCGTATTTTTCCTTGTGCGACACGGAAATATGCGATTGTAATACTGAGACATGTAAATCGCCATATTTTTTCGTATACAATCATTTACAACGGTGTGTGCTTGAATTGTGTTGACGTGTCATTTCCACATTCTCGTTCCTAGGAACTCGAAATGCATAACAGTCTCACATAGAAAGGGTAATCAAGGCATTCTACGTATCCTAACAAACTCAGTTCTACAGACCTTGGTGTCATAGAGCTATTATTAGAAAAGTAGCGCTAACGATGTGACACAAACAATGGCAAAAGTTTTCAGCTCGTACATTTTCTATTTACAAATCCTACAAGTGCAAACGGTATTTTAGAAAAGTAAATAGTGTTTTTTATAGAGAACTCTTCAAGCTACAGAATTTCTGCGTTACTTTCTTCTTGAAGATGCTTAGATTTTCCAAAAAATTAAGTTTATTTGTTGTTGATGACACGAATGAGTAGAAATATAGTAGCAAAAAATTTTCTTGTAACTGAGTTAAGAGTTCAAAAGTCAATTCTAAATAGCGTAAACCCTCCTTGGAGGTCGCGAAATTATAGTAAAACAAAAAAGTCCCGTTCTGAAGCAAGAATACAATTGTAAAAAATTGAATTTGGACAAACGAGCTTCTAAAGTCTAATCTTGCTGAAAATCTTCATCATAGATATATTTTATGGAATGAGAGTTATTTTGAGGTCCTTGAACTTTGTCATCATGAAGTTAAAGTCATCTGCTAATTATCTTTTAATTAATTAACTCATTAGGTAAATATTTTTAATTGGGTGTAAATTGAAAGAATCAATATTGTTTCATACATTAATGGGGAAAAGCTCATGCTTTTACAAAGTTCAAGTGATAGTCATATTCCGTTTTCATTGATTTTGCCCATATAAATGAAGAATGCTAGAAAATACAGTGTGAAATGCGTTCTCATTTCTGAAAAAAAGAACGTTCAAGAGCGAGAGCTATTTCAACAGCGATTTATCAATTGACTACGCTCTCTCATTGATGTATTTATCTGATTTTTTTCTTTCACAAATAATAAGAAAGTTTCATACGATCTGCTTATCTCAAGTTTTTTCGTCATGGTTAGTTGTTCAAGATATAAGAATTCTATAAGTATAATTTAACTAAGAATTTCTTTAGCATACTACTAAATCAAATACTAGAGGATTGTCTTGATCGTTTGAAGTCCTGAACAGTAGCTGTTCTGATTTCTTCGAAAAGAAAACGAGAATATAAGTAGGTTTCTTCTTGATATTTAAGGTCATTGTAGGGAAAATTTTAAGAAGACTATTTTCACAATTGATTGATCTGCTCAACAATAGACAAATGTTATTATCTCTTATAGCTAAAAATTTTTCATTATATTGATTTGTATTCAAAAACTCAAGTGAAAGAGTTTGTTTAGTTAAGTTGATCAAAATTCTTCATACTGCTAAACTCATTGTCATATAAAAATAAAAAAGACTTTTTTGTTGCAGACAAATAAAAAGCCCGATATATCTATATTATTTACTTACCATCCAGATTAGATAATTCATTACCAAATTGCCCATACATTAAATAATAAACAGGATATACTATTTGACGAAAAATACTTCGACCATCAAACGCAGTGCTGAAATTAGTTTGATTAAATTTATCAGAATTTGGATAATAAACCATGGAACGAGAAGCAACACCATAGCCAGCCATAACAATAAAAATAATGCACATAAAGAATGCAAGATCTTTTAGCTACGCAAAAAAAAACAAAGACTTGTTTTTATTCAATTAAGAATATAAATACCATTTTTCCAATGGCTACAAGATGTGGTCCAAGATACTGTACAACTATAATAAATGATAGAGAACGAAGGTACCAAATTTCCAAATCGATAGCCATCACCACCCTATATAGTTAAAAGTAAATATGTTAATGAATATGAGAAATTTTGAAGGAAATTCAATATTTGAGAATGAAAAGTATACTATCTTTATCCATAATAAAATGTCATCAATAATAAGATTAATTGTATGCAATGAACTTTTAATAATCTATTAACTTCAATATTATCCAATTACGAATAAATAGATAATATTGGATAAATAATCTATCTTTAATTTAAAGGCATTATTATTTTTGTAAAATAAATTTTTATTGTATAGTTCAGTATCGATTAATAATGCAACGATCACGGTGTATGTGATACCGTAGACCGGTGGTTCACCGTGCCATCCCTAGTATCAGTTTTTAGAGATTTTTAATAAGACACTGTAATTTTTTTAAATATATTTTGTTCTAATTAGCAGAATGACTATAGACTTTAGTTGATGTGATTTATATTAATAAAATTTTATTTGTAAAAGTACATCTTACCTAGCTGCAGTAAATTCATCATCTGTACTTGCATGTGTAAATCTTAAGATTAGTCCGATATAGAACAGACTCACTCCAACAATAGTCATAATTTTAAATCGATTACGAAAATAACTAATACATTTTCCTGCTAAACTCAAGTTATCTAGGCAAGCAAACTAAAATAATAATAAAACAAGTTCTTTGTTTATAAAATTTAATTATATATTAATATTTACATAATGAATTTCTTCAATTAACATACACGAAACCAAAATAATAGTTAAAATTTCAGTCCAATGTATTGATGGGTTTTCATTCGTTGGTCGTTGAAAATCAAATAAAAGCGTATAAGAAAAAAGTAAAAGAAAAAAACAATAATATACCTAAAATAAATTTTTATTTGATATTATTCAATAAAAAAAATCAATTCCTTCTAAATGTTAGTTTAATACATACACAATGATACAAATACTTTATTACTAAAGCTTGATGAAAATTTTTCAGTTTATGCATATATTGATTAATACATAAGATTTTCATACGAGGATATTCAAGTGAATATGGATCAGAATAATCTATACCATAGGATTGTAAACTAAACGTAAAAATAATCTTGCTCAAAACTTATGTTCAGATTTTTTTCCTTTCAAATTACGTACGATCGACTACAAGGTTCGTCTTTCGGTTCCTAATCAAATGAAATATATTCTTAATTGATTGAAAATTTTTCATTCGAGAAATTTCCTTCGAGATTTTGATATATAATTGTAATACTTACTCGCCTTTTCAATCGTCCAAATCGATCATTAAAACAGTTCTTATTGAGTCAAACAACCAAAAAAATTCTATAAATTTCGTGAATTTTATACCAAAAACGTGAAAAAAAAGCGGGATTACTGATAATGAAACGGACAATAAATTAATGATTTTCAAATTAATGGATGAAAAGCGATCTTGTGAATTACAGGATGTGAATGGGCGATCCGTTTAAAAAAAACTATGCATTCGGATTCGATTCGATCTGGTTTGGGGCTCTGGTTTGGACCGGCCTAAGTGATTCAGCTCAAAGCTGTTGATCGATTTTGATCCTAGGTTGACTCCTATTTTTGTTGCCAGGAGCTTTTTAAGTGAATTGGGAATAAGGCTCATTGCATTATAAGCATTTCAGAAAAGGCAAACGCAAAAACTTGAAGGCATTGAGAACGAAACTTTGTCTCTAACATTAATTTTATCATCTAGAAAAACTTCGTGAACTAGCTGAATTTTATAGGTCTGTAAATATTTTTAGACTCATCTAGTATTTCTTGACGAGTTACAACTCTAGAATGAGGAACCGATGCAAGTGAATAACATCTGTCTCCAAACGATCTAATTGTCAAAATACTCTGAAATATAAAATATTAAAGGACATCGAGACTAATAGTTTAAGATTTATTGAGTTTCTAAAAACTCATAGGCTTAACTTTAGCTATATAACATGCAATAGGTATCAGTCTAATCTCAAGAGAATCCTAGTTCAGAAAGATGAACCTAGTTTCCTCAGCTTTATCGTCCACCTCAGTTGGATGTCAAGTTAGCAGCGATATAGATAAATGAAATCAGCACAAGAAATCGAAAGATAATTTACATTATTTGCTGTATCGATCCTTAAAAAACGTTTTCTCACACTCAAATCGAAAGCTAATAGATGATAAAGCTAACTTTAATAATGCTATTATTAAGTTATTAAACTAAATTAAGGGATCTAGGATAGTTGCTCAACAAGACAACTGCTAGCGGCTGTGGCATGTAGCTGTGAAGTGTTGATGAAGGTTGACGATGTAGAATGTGCGTGTGGATGAAGAGCAGCCCTACACTCACACTCTCACTTGGATCTATACCCACATTCATACCAAAATCCTCACCCTCTGACTCTACAACCCACATCGAAAGTCTCATCTTTAGAATTCGACAAACTACACCTAAGACCTTCAATCATATCGGCGAGCAAATGTCTTAACAAGGAAGTGTCTTGTCGAACAATGAGTAGTGTCACATATCCAAGATTTTGGAGATGCCACCACATCTCTCGTGGGAGATGCCGCGTCTCCAGCTGGAGATGCGACACCCACACTCGAGAGATGTGGTCATTCACCACTGGAGATGTTAGATCTCCTTTAGAGATGCGCATCCCCCACACCCACACCCGCATCTCTCGCGCGAGATGCGGCATCTCCCGCGGGAGACGTGGTAGCATCTCCAAAATCTTGGATATGTGACACTGCTGCGAACAATAGTCTTAACGAGCAATTGCTAGATCGAGTAATTGTTCGACATCTTCTTTGTATAAATTTATTAATACGTATGATTGTCTTCTTTGTAAAAATCCATTTGAATAAACTTAAACAACAATAAATACTAACCTTTGGGCATGTCCGATAAGTGACTGTAAATGGAGCCAAAAGACCAGACGAAAAGAAGCCCATACCCATAAAGAAGTAATTTCGTTTTCTGGATTGTTTTGCATGAATTTTATCATACCAAATATTGTTCATAGCTTGAACACAACATGATGTAGCAATAAATAATTTATCTTCTGCATCAGCAGCAACCTATAACATAAAAATTTAAATAAAAAAAATCATTCATTTCAAAAACAAGAAAAAACATTCATTATACTTGAAGACAAGTAACATTTCCATAAAGTTCTATTCGTTGTAAAACAATTTGACATGCTTGATCTGAATCATTTTTTTCACATTGTGTTATACAATCAATAGCATATTGTTGAAAATAATCAGCATTTTTCATATAATTTTCTTTTAATTCACCATAAGGTGCTTTACGATGATATTCTTTTAAAATTTTTGTTGCAATCAATGCAGGACATATTCGATATTTAACATAACACAAAAGAACTTTAGCCATATCAATATGATTCATAAGTATTGACCATAAAAATAAATCTCGCATTATGTAATCTTGAATTATTTGTCGTTTTTCCCCATCCGCAAGATTATCATCGGATCCTGTACCTCGATTATTGCTTTGCTTTAGCTCATCATTTTCCTTGTCTAAGCCCCACAATGATCGATACATTTTCTCTTGTTCATTGCTATCAAAATATAGGTTACTCATATAGTCACCAACAAGTGTAGCAAGAACAGAATTAAGCTCATCAGTGGTAGTAATATGTTTTTCAATAGAATCAGAATGTGATTCAATAAACCAACTTAAATGAGTTGTGTCCCTATTCTATATAATTTTATGAAAGCTAATTATTTGTTTCTTTTTTTGTATTCAAAAATATAACATACCACTATTTCAATTTTATAAAAACATTCAATAAATTTTTTATATCGAGTTTTTCCTTTAAAGAATTCATCATCTGGAAAGAATATTTCACTTGGATCAATACCCAATTTAAGAAATTCATAAACAAATGTTGGTAAATCTTCTGTTAAAGCATATATAAAATCTTGTTCTTTGTTCTAAACACACAAAAAACAATAAATAAATTATTTCATACAATATTCTTCCAAATATGAGCCCATGAAGTCATCAAATCCTAGTGATTGTTCAACGCAGTATAGTACTAATCAAAAATATAACACCAATTTATTTTTGATTTTTATCTGCGATACTAAATATGTAAAGGAAATCGAAACATTTTTTTAAATAACCAATGAAGTTCTTCATCAAATGCATTTCATACCAAAATTTCATAGATGCACTCTCAGAAAGAGTTTTCTGAAAAATCAAACACGGTAACTTGCAAAGTGTTGGATAATTGTGTGACTATGAGTTTTTAAGAGTACTATCTTAAAGAGCACAATATCTTGATGAGAAATAAGGTTTATTGTACGTCAGACGATCTTTCCTTAGAAAATTCTAAGCATAACAAATAACAAAAGATTCGATTTCTACTAATTGTATGATAAATTCATTTTTCCAATTTTTTGTGATGCTTATAACTTCTTAAGGAGAGATCGTGGGAAATACAGTGAATCCTCATTTTATTCAAAATTTTGTGCTCTTAAAAACTAAGTGTCACATAATATTCTGGAGTTCAGATGGTGCCGTATTTGGTTTTCCAACAACTTTCGACTCATGGTTCATCTATGGAATTAAAGTATGAAATTTATGTTAGAGAGAAATGTGTTAACTATGCAAAACACAATATTTGAATTCGAGTTAAATGCTTTGTATCGCAGAAAAAAATCAAAAAAAAAATTTAGGTCTTATATTTTTGCTCAATACTGTGTATATCGTGGCTTCCAAAATTAGTCTATCAGTTTTTTTTTCAATCTTTTCCACTGCCTTAAACGCTAAGATGAATCTAAATAGTGAATGATATAAAGAATTTTATAGTCAACAACAAGGTTTGAAGATAAAAATTGTTGTTAGATTTCTAAGGATGTGGTTTCTGAAAAATAAAGTTTTTCAGTTCTTAGAAACCATACATTAAATTCTATTAGTAACTTAAAAAAATATTTTTTGGTTTTCAGAGACCCTATCTTTGAAAAACTAGTAAACATTTTTATCTTTAAAAATTCTTGTTAAAAATAAAATTCTCTACTAAAATTACTATTTGGATTACTTCTTAACTTTTAAGATGGTGGAGAAAATTGAAAATTAATCTTATCGAATGGTTTTGTGCATCTATGAAGATTTAAGAAAAAAAAGATTTAAAAATGCACGATGTTATGATGGTCGGATCCAGTTTGGGATAATCAGAAATCGATCTTGATGATCACAGCTAGAAATACATCAATTCCCAATTCTCGTGTTAGGAGAAAGCGGTTGTTGTTATATGACTAATCTTACATGTATTTTAACTAAATTAATCATTCGATCTAGGTTTTTACAAGATCCATTCTTATTCTATCCTCCAAAATTGAAATCGAAATTGATGCATTGCTAAGCCAAGTGCTACGAAAAACGCGAGTAACTTATCCTACTCTGATCCGAGGGGAAATTAGTTGATTCTATAATTCTATTAATTCTGCATGATACCACTACATTCTTTGACTATGGAATACAGATATTACTTTTTTGTTTGTGAAAAAACTGATCAAACAGATTGATTCTACCGTGTTTTGCTCAGCCAATCACGCTGTAAGATGATTATTGGAAAACTATTCTGATCAGTCAGTTTAGTTTTGCCAAAGCACATGCTGTTGTTGCAGAATCGGATAAAGTTGTCGTATTCCGATGAAATCAACTTGATGTGCCGGTTAGAAACTGCGCTGAAATCGGATTAGTATCTGTGATAGAGAAACACGATATGGTTTTTTCAAGATAGTAAGTAGCTTAGACAATTATTTCCATAGCGGGCAACCTTGTGATTTAAAATGGTCCTGACGGTCTAACATCAGCTTTATATCCAGAGATCCGGTGCATTGATGATTCCTCTTTAAGTTTTTTTCGATCGCCCTGAAAATTATTCCCATAAGTAATACTCATTGTCCTTTAAAAGTCTATTTATTTCCTCATCAATTAGAACTTTACAGTATAGTTTTTAAATTAATGCAAATCTGAAAAACATGACGAAGATTTTCAATTAGTTATCTTTAAAGCAAAAATTTTTCATTCCTAATGGATGAGAGACATAATCAATGTTTTTAATGAGAATCTGTAATAGAATGTGCATGTCCATTACATTTTCCACAGCATCATGTATCCGTACATCTTATTTTGCAGACCAATATGTTAAAAAATGTACATGTGTAAAACTGATGGCTAGCCACAGTAGAAAACTTCTATTGAAAGAACACTTCTTTCATTTTTCACTCTAATGAGTACACGAAGGTTCAAGAGTGTGGATACGAATGTAGAAAAGACCTAGATTCTAACTCATGTTCTCCTCAACATATCCATGTCACAGTTGCCTTTCATTCGTCTAAAATTCACATAAAGAGGAATATCGATATGATGAGAAAAATATGAACAAAGAAATCAGAATCTGTAGTCATTGAAAATCTTCGAATATAAATTATAATTAAAGTCTTTTAAGATGGCTTTTTCTTTTCTCCTAGTACTTTTCTTTTCTTGTATATCTTTCAGTTGCTCGAAAAAATTATTTCGAATTCATTTCAGGTAGTACACAAGCCATATACGTAAGCTACTTGTACAAGAACATGGAAGATGTGAAACCGACCCTATCTATTGCTCTTAAACGTGATGTGCGTAGTCTTAATCACTTTCCACAGATAAGCTTCTTTAAAGCTTGAAGGCAAGAAAATCTCGTACGAAAAAAATAAAATGTAAAGAGAACAATTAGTATGTAAATTTTGTTGTATTTAGGGGTACTGTGCACATTGTTGTACAAGGTACATTCTTTCATTAAAAACATTGGTGTTAAGGAAGTACAATGTGATTCTACGGAAATACTCTTGAACATTTCACTTCTTGAAATAGTAATTGTTCCTACCAGAATATTATTTAATGAATTTTGTAAAATTAATTCTTTTGCAACATGAATACAATTCCAATCCATTGCTAGTCGTAATAATTGTGATCGTTGTGTACGTCGATCTTTTTTATGAATATTTTGACGTACACTTGATTGAAGTTCTCGATCTTGTAAATTAGGTAGTATTTCCAATTTTCCTTGATTTTCTTCTGTTGCATTATTTTCATCATTTTCGTTCTTATTAAAATTTTTTTGACGTGCTAAATAGATTAATTTATAAATCAATAAAAACAAAAAGAAAGACACTCAACATACCTTTACAAATACTTCGAAAAATTGTTTCTGATAAATTATCATCTGAATTTAAATTAAATACTGTTATACCAGAACGAACGGCTGGTTGAAGACAATACATAACTTGTTTAAGTGTAGTTATTAATTTAGTTGATAATCTATCATTTGAACTATTTGATGATGGTGCCTTTCTTTTTTTCTTATTCGAATCATCATCATGTGTCATAATTACACTAAGATCTGTTTGAAGTTGTTTGACATATTTACTAAACATATTTTGAAGTCTTTAAAATAAATAAATAAATAAATATGTATCTACAAAAAACAATTGTTTTAATCATTTACGGATTTCTGAATTCCTCAGACTGAGATTGAACATATTTAGCATCACTAGAAAGAATAAAAAACTTGACACAAAAATCGAATTTTATTATAAATTTTACCTTGGTTTTGAATTATTTACATCATTTTGATTTGAAGTTAAAGGTGGAACAGTTATAACTGGTGTTACATTATCAATTTGATCAATTTCATATGCAATATCAGAGTCTTTACTATTATCATCGAATTCTTTCGTATATAATAACCAACGTTTGAAAAAATCAGCTACACGACCACTACCCTATTTTTTACACGTTTATCAAATCGTATTCATTTTATTCGTTTTTGCTTACATCAATAATAACAACAGGAATATTAGCCCGCAAATCATGGTATACATTTTTAATGGTTTCTCTACCACCTTCTACGACAATAGTAACAACAGGAGCTAAATATTTAAAAAAAAAATATCTGTTAACTCAATGATTGTGTGATTTAAATACGAAACATGATGTAGTTGTTATTGTTAGTCATAGGCTTTTTTTTATTCTATCTATTTATGACACATTTGTTCATAATCGTATTACTTAATCTTCTAGTCATGCAATAAGAATTTAGTTCATATCTAATATATAAAGAAGAATATTTGTTTGTTTGTTCTTTATGCATTTGGACCCTGTAGGAGCCAGTGCAACCAAACTTTGCATGGTATACTCTTTCGTCTAGGGAAAGGTCAAGGATTACTTTTTGATCCAAAATTTTGATCTTTAGAGTACTTAGTAACCGCATTGTTGGAGCGCCACAGTAGGTGTTTCATCCAAAATACCCGTGCGCATGACTGTTTTCTCAATAATTCGAGAATGAAAGGATATAGAGACTTGCGGTTTTCGCCATTCGACACAAAAGATTCTGGGGCATGAAAGTATGATAAAATCTGATTGGCCAACAAACCGACCAATCAGGTGAATTCATCGGTAAAGATTTTAGAAACTACATTGCAAAAGGAATTCCAATTGAAGTTTAGCTTGAAATACGACTATTCAACGGAAAAGTTTGTCCTCTATCGAACCCTGCAAATCCTCAGTTATTCCGTTATTCTGTTCTGAAGGTTCAAACCATATATCTCAAATTAAAGAAACCCTCAAAACAAAAAAATCTTTGAGCACAATCCCTACAGAATAAAAATGTGCACTACAATGGAGCCATTTTCATTGTAGTGAAAGATTCGCGCAACGTTGAACATCATCCGAAAGACAAAAAGAGGGGTCAGTGGCACAGATATCGAGGAACCGGATATCTCGCCCCTAAATTTTAAAAATTTTTCTGTTTTTCGCTCTCCAAAAGCGAAAAATGCCTGCTTTTTCTTGTGTTTTTCGGAAAATTCTTCATTAAACCACCCTCTAAATTAGGATGACCACCAGTCTCCAACGAGACAATGGGTTACGGGCTCAAAAATCTCCCCTCCTCTCTCATTTTTGAACACTACGTGTGTCCCTGAGAGCTGCATATCAAAAATCTTTATCGTGGTCTGTGGGACAGGGTGGAGTTCACTTTTCTCGCTATGAACTTCAACATGCATTTTCCATTGTGTTTCACAAAATATTAAGAAGAGCAAAAATTAAAAATTTAGAAATATCAAAATCTTTGAAAAAGTTTTAAAATGGAAAAGATTTTAAGCACATTTTGCGACAAACAAGATTGGTAACTTATAGGAAACCATAAGGCTACCGTTTTTCAATTTTTCATAAATGATATGTTGAATTTACCCGGGTAACGCCGGGTACTTCGGATAGTGTTACTATAACGAGATGTTATTCATATATGGTCTCTGATGATGTATCAACAATGTCCTATGCCATTGAGATAACTAATAATGACTCTGCTATCATTTCATCATCTTAATTTCAGTGCACCTCAATTGAAAAGCTCCCTTTGTATTTCTTACTTTAGACTATTTTAGTTTGCTTTTTTTTGTGAAACAGCTAAATAGTGTGGCAATACAGACAATACTGCATTGCATGATATATCAATCATAAATAACAAATAGAAATTGAAGAACAAAAAATACATCAGTAAAAAAACAAAGGCATTTTTTTTCACCACAATTTGCAGTAAGAATAAATCGAATTTTCTACTTTCTGTTGTGTTTGCACATATTGATAGACATAATTTTATTAATTGAAAATTCTAAATACAAAATCTAATTTGAACTTGGAACATCTTTCGTTACGTTTTGGATCGAATTTTAATCAAACATATTGGCTAGTGACAGAACACAGTTAGTATAATTATCTATTGCTTTCTAGTATAGTATTATTTTATTGAAAGTTTATTCATGATTCAATTAAAACGACTGAAAAATTCTTCTTGGACAATTTAGAAAAATCGAACATCACTTACTCATACTTATATTACGATTATTAAATGAGAAAAATCTTAACCAATATTATATCATTTGAAACATCGATACAAATGCTCAAAAGTCATAGATTATATGTGTTCAGTTAGGAAGGATTCTCTGCCTGTATATAAACTTATTTTTGTCGAGACTCAGAATTTATAGAAGACCTGTTAATGAGCATTTTGACAAATGAGATCACCACAAAATACAATATATTAAACGACATTGTATAATTGATATCATTTCAAAAAAATCCAAGGATAATAATTTTTTGAATTTGTAGGTCATTACTCAATCGCGCCCTCTCTCTAGCTAAATCCCTGTATGAATACCTTTTTCAATATTAACTTAGTTTTGTATTTTTTTAAATAATTAATTTTACGTATCGTATAATCGTTTATTTTTTTTTGAATATAGATTTTTATTATCAAAAAATATTGAAAATAAAAATTCATTTAAATCAAATAACATTTTCATTTCTATATCATTATGTAAATATCAATTTAAATATTAAAGTCTTTATTTATAATTTAAAATTTATTTAACTATTGATATTAAAATCTTTCATTGTTTGATTCAATTCTTAGGGGGCAAGATTTCAATTAAAATTTTTATGTTCATATATGATCAAATTATTTTTAAGATAATTTCAAAAATAATTTTAACTAGAACTCTTCTAAGAAAACAGTCTGCTTCATCTTCATATGTTATTATGTAGCTCAATTGTTCGTTCTGTAGAAATGTATTTCTTTAGTAAAACTAAAATGATTATATATTGTCAAATAAAATCAATTTACTTACTAGAAAAATTAATTTCATGACGTAGTTTTGCTAATTGAACACATAATCGTGTTCGATAATCTTCTATGTCATAATATCGAAGTCTTCCATCATCTAACATAAGATAATGACTATGATTCATTTCAAGATCCCGTTGACCACTTTCACGTTTATGTATTTTCTCTTCATTATCATTAGTATTAGATGTGTCGTTTTTTTTCTTAAGAATCAAAATAATAAAAAAAAACTTGAAAACATATCAAATTAATATTTGTTAAAATATAAATCAAACTTGTTTTTTTTTATTTTCAGAATCTGTAATTTCTTCAACATCTTGTACACTTCCCCATTTACAAACTCCAATAGCTGTAAGTTTTTTTTTTGGATTTGTTAATTTAACTTTATTAATTGCTTGTCCTACAAGTTGTACAATACCAACATTATATCCATTTGTCATTAACCATGCATCTATTAAAAATAAATTAAAATAGAATTAACTTAATATATATTAATTAAATATTAACCTGATTTAAGAGCAACATGAATAATACCATTGATAAAATTTGTTTCAAGTCGATCACTTAATGTAAAATATTTTTGTCCTCCAATAATTGACATAATTAATCGAGGTTTGGGAATTTTCCAGATATTAATAAGAAGTTTTTCTACTTTTGTTTCAGATGTATCTAAAGCAAGTCGTACAAACTAAATAAATATGAATAACTAATAATTAATAAATTTACAAAAAATCAAATTTTTGATCTTACTAAAGCACCATTTGAAAGTGTACCGTGAATCGGATTAAAATTTTGCTTAGTATTAGAAAACATATCCCATTTGTTGTCTTTCGATTCGATATCTCTGTTTTCATGATTATTGTACGGACGATTACATACACATATATCTTCTTTTTCATCACTAACGAAAAAAGTTAGTATGAATAAACTTAGTTGAATTATTGATCTTCAAAATACTTTTTTTTAATAAATTTGAAGCAAATACGATAATAAAGTTCTAAATCATTGAAACTATCTTGAACAGTCGATTCGTTATTTAACTAAAAGAAATTTAATTTAGATTTTTTTCAAGTAAGTTTTTTTTCTTTTTAATAGTACTGAATTGGATTGTTGTCTTGGATGTGTTCTGTTCATTATTAGTTAAAAAATATATTCAAAAAATAATTTTTTGTAATATGTAAAAGATGACACTAGGATCAAATTGATGTTAGATATTTCTATATTATAATGCAGTCCTTTGAATAGACAAAATTGTAAGTACTATAATAACTAGCTATATGACTTTGCCTTACCTTGAAAACGAATGTAATAAAAGGCATCTGCTTCAGTAGATCGAAATAATTCTAGAGGAATACGTTTTTTTTTCTTCTATTCTGTTATGCAAATATATGAATTGTTAAGCAAGACAGCTTGATTTTAATGTGTTGCAACATGCAACTATTACACTGAAAAAATAGAAACAAAAAAAAAAGACTTTTTTATTATTTAAAAGCAACCCTGTAGGCATTGACGTCTTCAGAATCGCCTTTTTTTTAAGAAACAAAAAAACAACTTCTTTCGAAAAACGCAAAAAAAAATGCAATTCTAACATATTCTTGTTTTTTCCTTCTGACTGAATATTTTAGCAAGGAAAACAAGAATTTATTATAAAATGAAACAAAAATTTTTATTTACAATCCTTGTCAATAAACTCATTGTTAAAAAAATATTGAGTCGAATAAAAAAAACAATGATGGTTAATAATAAATTATGAAAGTATTATACAGTATGTGAAATAATTATTCTGACACTTATAATACTGATATGGTTAAAAAACAATTTAACAATGAAGAAATAACTTTTTTTCGATTTTCAAAGAAGTAATTTCATATGTTTATTGATCTCATTGATATCATACAATGCTTATTATTGTATAACACTATATCAACAAAGATGTATTAATGATTTTCTATGATATTTTGCATTGTTCGATGATTATTAGTATCAGTTTTCATAATAAAATCATTTATTATTGTAGAAGATATGCATTACGTAAGGATAATCTCATTAGGATTTTGTTGGTAAATTGACATATTTAGCAAAATATTCTTTCCTAGATTAAGCTTTAATTTCGTAGAACATTTTTTAAATTTTTGCTGAATGGAGTTTTTATTTTTCATAATTTTGTTTCTATTCAATATTTAATAAATAATATGCATCCTAAAGAGTATCAAATAAATATACTAAGAAGAACATTTTACATTTGTTACTTCTTTTTTCTAACGTATTATGACAGTTAAAGAATTCATCTAAGACAAATGTATAAGTTGATAAATTATTAGAGAAGCTTTTCATCAAATACAAAATTACCTATTGTTATTGTTTATTTGTTTTAAATCTTTTAGTATTACTTATCATTACTGTCTTAGTGCCATTGTCAGTGTATCGCAAAGTTACTCTTTGATAGTAGCGTCTGCACTAATTTTAGAAATCGTTATATCTAATTCTTTTACGTACTATGTATCATCATATAAAATGTCATCAAAAACTACTTTTTTTTTTGCTTTTTACAGATATTTTAATCTTGAATGTCAGATACTCTTCTAAATCGTACATTAACTATATATAATCATTTGACATCTATTCTCATTTATTTATAAACCAAGTACAATTATTCCTATTGATTAAGAACTATAAGGATGCTTCATATTCATTTTATACTTTTGTTAGTAAATGACTAATGAATCTTATTTCAGTCTAAACAATTTTACACAATCTATATTTGAAAAAAAAAACAAACTATTCTTTTCTCTCAGATGATGTTAGTTACGGAAGTAGAGACAGATATTATGGAACATATAAGTTAAAAGATCATATATATATTTAAAGCATGAACAGAGCTAATTGTTGAATAGATAACTAGTGAATAAACTACATCATGTGTGTTTCAATGTTTTGGAATAGATAAAAAGTTGATATGCACAATTAAAATAATGAAGATATGTTCAATATCAGCTTGAATAAACAGTTATATGAGCACATGTATATTAATTTTTTAAGATATAATAATAAATAAATTCAACCTATCATTATGTAAAACAAAAAAATTAAGTCTAAAACAATAATTTTGTATACTTTGTTTTTCTCTGTTTTACGATACATCTTAGTATTTGACACTTAAAATTAAAATGTATATAAAAAATTATTTTTGATGATATTTCATTCGGTAACACCTATTTCAACAATTCGATACAAAAATCTTCTACTAACAGAGGATTTATAGTTATTATGTAGAATCTAAAAAGGCATACAGATTTCTAGGAACAAGATACTCGAAATCAATTGAATGAAATACATACAATCATGTATTTTTCTAGGAAAAAAAATGAGTCATCACTTGAAAGACTTGCCTCGTGAGATACAATTATACACTAAAATACAAGAGTGAAAATACGATTTTTAAAAAACATCGTATAACCTGTAAAAAACTAATGAGATGAGAGTATATCTCTTTTTAGAAGGATTGTTTTTTGACTACAAAGAATATGTATAAATTAAATATTCTTGGAATAATTTTGATTCAAAGAATAACTTGAAAATCTTCGATTGGAATAAATTCTACCTAATTATCTCAATTGGGCTATATTATGATAAAAATATGATCATATTTTTATTCTTTTCTATTATGTTGATTGCTTTGAACTGAATCTTTACAAATGTACGAAAGAATTCAGATTTTCAATTTTTGTTGACTTATCAAGATTTATTTTGACTCTATTAATATATAGTTCTGTATATTTGCTAGACGGAAATATACTCAAACATGGGACAGAGTTTGTTTTTTTTAATAGCAAGGAAAAGGTCTTTTATGAGACACTGTATCTCAAAATTTGTTACGTGTGACAGTTCTTTGTTATTAAAAGGAAATATAAATTCAGATCGAAACAAATTGATAATTAATAAAACATAAATCAACAACAGAAATAATGAATAATTGCAATAAATAATATGTGAATATAGTATTGCTTTCTTTCTATTTGAACAAACTCTATAACTATTTTCATATAAATCTTAAAAACAGATTTTCATATAATAAAATAACGAATTCATCAGTATCAAGAAATAAGATCAAATTGTAAATATATAAAAATTATATTGTCAGAAATTCTTCATTAGTGGGTAATTTGCAAGGATATTGTACATAAATGAAGTTCCATAAATTATACAGAATTTTTAAAAAAGTATTGCTCACGTCATTTCAATAAATATTGGTGTAGTTTTTATATCGTAGATTGTATTCTGCATATAGTTAATAGAATTTTTTAAATTTAAAATAGTTTTCAATGTTTTAGACAAAAAAAAGTGTTAATCTCATTTGATAACTCGACATCGTTCACTATACTTTCTAGAGAAAGTCTAGAATAGTATGTATTCCAGAAACAGAAAATGTTCTGTACATGTTGCTTCTCTATGTACATTTGCATTTATAAACACTACAGGATACTAAAAAGAAATCACCTGTACTATATTTTTTTTTGTTCATATCGATCATGTCTATTGGAATATAGTACAATAAAAACTGAAGCAGAATAACAGAATTTTAATCAGATTCGACCTGTAAAACAGCAATCTTAATTTAGTTTGGTTCTTTTCGATAGTACTTGCACTAAGATTGTATTCGATTGAGCCAACTTGAACCCTTCAACAACTCGATTCGACTTTTATCATTGTACTGTACTGAAAGCAAATTTACCTTGACTTTATCAAAATGAAAAATATCAAAAATGAAAATAACAGAGATATGTAACAATAGAAGTATTGAAAATAATAGTATATGAAGAAAGAGAAATTCCTTCAGATTTCCTTCTCACTCTTGCCTCTATATTTTTATCGTTGATTTTATTTTTTGTTATTTTCACCGATCGATTATAATAGGATTCACCTTACAGTCTGTCAAACAGTAAGCGATCGTGTTTACGAACAATTGTTTGCATTTTTGTAATCATGAACGTGAACAGAAAAAAAAAAAGAAATTTTCGATGATCATGATCAAACATTCTGGTCACGCGATACACCACCAGTAGCTCATAACTGAATACGCTGCTGTCTGCAGCAAAAACTTATTGTTTTTGACGAGCATCGTCGGCTATCTTTATTTTATCCGACCCTATCTGATAATGATAACCAATAATCTAAAACTGTTTTATATAAGTATAAGCGGACGTCTGTAGTAGATCATTCATTATGTATGCGTACTTATCAGCAACTTCCATAAATATAATTCTTTTCTCTCATTATTATAAATCAGACCTAAGAAAATGAATAAATAAAAATTAAGGATAAATCACTCATAAAATGCTTTGGAAAATTCTGCTAATATATATTTGTGTGAAAAGACAAAAAATACAACTTGTTGAATTGGACATTTCTATTCATGACATTCATGTAAGACATGAAAGGCAAGAATATTTAAGCAAAGTGAAGTCGTATAATTGAATATATAAAAATAATATTATTGAGTAATTTGTTCACATACTGAACAAATGATATGAAGTTCTTCATTGATTAAAAGTAAGACACTTCATATTCAATGTTCAAGCAGATCTTTAATTTCTACATGAAAGTATTCAATGAAACAGAAAAACAAATGCTTTTGCCTTTGTTAAATATTTATTTGAAGGTTATTATGAAAATATTTGATGTACGAAAACATCCGCAATAATATAAATCTTATTCAAGACTATTCGCTAAAGAAATTTTTCAAAATTAATTTATTTTATTTACACAATTTGTTTTAAATAATCATTTATAATGGAATATAGTTTTAATTGAATAAGTTAAAGAAGAGAAAACGGAAGTACTTGAACTATTAGTATATTATAAAAGTTAACTGAATGAATTTTGATAGAAACGGTGAAAAAAAAGCTGGAATTTCGATCATTCAAGAGAGAACATCTGAACCATTGAATTCAGTTGAAATGTGATTTGACAAACATTGACATATTAGGTGTGTTCTTATAGCAAAGATTTTAAAAACGAGATTCTCAAGTCATTTTTCATTAACATTTAACGTTTAATATGACCAATCGTTTGAGAAAAGTCTTCATTTTCAAGCTATGTAAATAATTCACTCTTGGTATAGAATAAGTTTAAAAAGGTATCATGTATATCCTTCTAAAAGAGTTCGATATAATATTTACGCGGTAGCTTTTAATAGCAATATATTTACTTGTTGATTTCTTGCTATAAACTATTTGAATCATAATTTTATGTATCATAATTTAATACCAAATATTATTTTAAGCTATTCGGCGTATTCAGCTTCTGTTCTGTTGCCATCTATAAAGGTACGGGTACACGAAAGGTCGATCTCTCTACACCCACACCCCTTCTTTCTCTCGCTCTATGATAAAGTAAAATATACAATCATGTATGTTCAATAAAAAGTTTCAATATTGAAATCACTAAAAGTAAAAGTAAATTTTCTAAATAAACTCTGATTTCTTTATTTATCGTTATAATTCATGCATACAACAGAATAGCGAAACTCTTTTGACAGTCAAAAAAGAAAAACTAAAAGTCAATATTATTGAACACATCAAGCATTTTTTATCTACTCAACACTCTTCTCATTTCATATGATACAATTTATTGATAGTTTTTTAAGAAATTATCATGTTACTTGACTAAGCATATGTCGATAATAAAATAAAATTATTTCATCATTGAGCTGACACGGTGAATGTCTTTTTCAGTTTCAGTTACACTAGCTTGTTGAAGTGGCAACGACTGCCGATAGATAGTGACTGCCTTTTTATAATATTCTAATGCTTCTTTCCAATTTTTCATCGTCTCATATAACAGACCAATTTTTTTATTATTCGCAGCAATGTCTGGATGTTGAGGAGGTAAGGATTTTATTCTAATCTCAAGCGACGTTGTGTAATGGCTCATGGCAAGCTGATACTGACCAACAATACGATAAACATCACCTATGCCAATAAGGTTTGTAGCCATATCTGGATGATTAGATGTTAAATGCTGCTTTTGAATATCCAATGAGCGTTGATAATTGTTCAATGCATTTGTGTATTGCTTTTGAGCACACTGAGTACGAGCAATACCATGATACAAAGAAGCCATAAATGGATGATTTGTAGCATTCGCGCGCTTGTAACAATCCATTGCTGTATTATAACATTTCGTTGCTTCATTAAAATCATTCTTTTCCATATAAACATTTCCAATACAACAGTATAGACCACCAATGTAAATCAAATCAGATGGTTCCGTACGAATTTTTCTGTCCAATGCTCTTTGAAACCATTGTAGGCTACGATTAAAATCTTTTCTGTTTGAATACAGTACACCAAATGAGTAACATAAATGAGCATATGAAGTGTCATCAGGAGAACACTTCTTACGTACATCGATATAGATTTTTTCTGCCGAATCATATTTTCCCATATGTTGTAGTACATCACCGAAAAATTGAAGATCAGCTTCGTTCTCACCACCTCCATAATCTGCTTTCAACTGATCGAAAAGCTTCTTCAACTCATTGTCATTATTTTCTGCTAACTGCATTTTAATTATCCAGATGTTTTCTTTATCATCTGGATAGATATTGATCAAACGAAATATACATCCAACCATAAATAATATTTCAGATTCTTGACTGAAATAACTCAATGAACTAATATCAGCAAATGGTTTTGATTTCACAACACGTGGATCAGCTTCAATGTCAAATAATATTCCACGTAAGTCATTCGAAATGGTCGTACTCTTCATGAATTTTAATGCTGTATCACGATCAGAACTAGTTGAAAAAAATGAATTAATTGAGATAAATTGACCGATCGAGTTTTGAAGAGTATTTAATTCATCAGCATACATAGCTTGATAACGATAAACACGGACAGCTTTTTGACATTGGTGCTTTATGAGTCGCTGATAAATGTCATGAATTACAAAGCGAAATAATAATAATAATTCAATGTTCTGCACTCGCAAAGCTTTGTTTAACATTCTGTATACAAATGCATCACGAGTATACCACCATATAGCTTTTTTAGGCTTATAGTAACCTTCGAATTCATGAACAATTTCTAGTTGATGATCATTGTCACTAAATTCTTCTTCACAAAGTTGAATGAGGCTTTTTTTGTCAGCGTCACTAGATTTCATTCTAATGAGAACGTCGATTAATAATAGAGAATGAATAAATTGACCATTGAGTTCAGTTGTTGATTTATCTACATTACCACCAACATTGTAAAAATTCATACACATTGGTTCTTCTACTTTTCCTCGATCTTTTTGATCCGTTGTGATTTGTTGAATGAGATCATCAAGTTGGATGACTACACCTTTTATCTTCGAAATAGTAAATGAAAATGATTTAAAGATCGAAAAAAAAAACAACACAAAAACTTCATACTTTACTATACTGTTTAGCCCAATGTTTATATGCTTTTTTATCCCAACAATAGATGTAAACAGCAGAAAGTTGTCGAAGATGATGAATCTGAGGAATTAATTCTTTGCTTAATCGACCACTAATGATAAGAACAACTCGATCATGTTCAGAACAAGACATAATATATTGTTGACATTCATGTTGATCATGAAATATTTCGAGATGATTGATGATTGAACGAAGTCGCTTTTGGGCACGCCTATTTTCGTCTGTTGTATTGACTTCTGCATCAAGCCAAAGAAGAGAAAATGTTTCTAAATTATGACCGTATGTTTTAGAAGATTTTTTCTTCGTAGCAGCCATCTGTGTATGAGTAGTAATATTTTAATCAAGTATTTTTATATAAATATCTTGCTCTTATCGTTTTATTATTCATTATGGTTTGATTGTATCAGTCCACATGTATATTATACTTCCTTTCTGCTTGTTTTTTTCATCATTTTTGTGTCGTATAGGTAATCATTACCTTTTCTTAATCGAAAATTATTGATGTGTGAAATATATAAACAAGCTAACGCGCATGTTTTTAACGACCAATAAATCATAGTTTTTGAATGCTTACTTGTTATTTATCTATACATTTTGACTATATGACTAATTGAATGAGAAAATGCAATTTATTTACATGAATATTTCCATCTTGCAATCGTATACATGTATTCAAACTGTACAAAAATATTTTTGTTATTCTTTAGTATTTCATCAAATCAAGTAATACGTCTTGATGTTTTTGAATTCGTTGTTGAAACAAATATTGCATATTAATCATGTTGTTTTTCTTCATCTTTGTAAATAAATTAGTATGTTTTTGTTTAAAACTCGGCTGATGAAGATGAATGTTTTCTGTAGAAGAGGTTAGAAAAATGTCTTTCTTCATTATTTAATACTTTTAGATATATCGAACACATGTGTCATGACATTTGAAACGTATCCAAAGAAAAGCAGCCATCGAGATAGATAAGTGAAATTCGAAGCTATCAGTTGGTCCGCCAATGTTAAGAATAATTTTGATGATGCATACACCAAAGCATATAATAAGAGACAATATCTATAAGGGTCATTTTTGCTTAGAAACGAACAATACTTCCGAAGTTTAGAAAAATAGTCAAGTCGAATTCATTCTTTCGACAAAAAGAATACTTGCAGTTATAAATAAATCTTAAAGATGTGAGAGTGATTGTATGAGTGCGGATTGATGAGAAGAAATCCTACACTCACACCCCACCCTGTAATTTCGATCTAACATTGTTCAATAAATTTGCCTAAAAGAAATCAACGAAAAAGACTTAAATTTCAAATCGAACATCGGAGAATCACACAATGCAGAAAAATGAAACATTGTTCCTATTATCATAATTTTCATTTTTCTACAAGTAAAGAAAAACAAATTAATAATAGAGTCATATTGAAACTAATAAATACGATACACTATCGATTATCACTTCATGTGTTCATTCAATCTTCATAGAAATAAAATAAATCCAGATGCTCTTTTCTATATAACATAAAAAATTTGGTAGAGTAGAAGAATTTTACATTTGTTACATCATTGCTTGCTAAGCTTCATCGTAAAATTTTAACAATATCACGAAGCACTAACGAAATACTAAAGTTCATAGCCAAGAAATTTTTGTCTTTACGATTCTTTTTTATTGCTTATTCTCTTAGCATAATTGAAAATTCAATTAAGATTCTAATGCTTAGAACAAAACTAAAAACTAATCCATGTTCATTCTATTTATTAACAGATGATATTACAAATTCTCTTATATTATTAATGAATCTTGTACTCATGATCATTGATATTCTATAAGATAGTAATGGTAGTACATCAATTGTTGTTTTATGTAAAATTTTGACTTTTTTTTTACTAACTGCCTTTACAAAAATGTCAATATATATCAGGGGCGGCGGAACGTTTCAAAATCAGATGAGGCTCAGTGGATGTTTTTTATTAACCTAAGCAAACTTTCATATTACTTTGACATATAACTGAATGAAGTTCAGACGTTAAACTATTGCAGACAATTTAGTTTTGTTGTGGTCATGAAAGGCACCGCGCTATTTCGCTGTTTTTTAATGGAAGAACTTCTAAATCTTTACAAGGCTACAGGAGTTCCATAGAGTATAAGAATCATTTATTTCATACTCAAATTGGACTATCAAATCAACAGAAAGCTTATCATTTCTCATTTGACGATATGAACGTTGATATTATTTAAGCTGAATCAGTTTGATCAAATTTTTCGTTATAAATAAATGCCAGCAAAGAATGGTTATGTCGCGTTTGGTTTATAAAAACTCAAAGAGAATTTTTTCAATTGATTTGGTCATATTAAATGCTTATTAGACAATTACTATGAAGAGTGAGGATTATAGATCTGTGGAGTCACGCTTTTTTTTAACTCCGACTTCGAAAAACTCCGAAAATTTTTATTCGAAAATCAGCGACAACTTACATGTGCTGCAATATTATGCAACCTAGGGTCAATGTAATATTACAAATTCGATTCGATTCTGGATCATTTAGGCATTACCTTTTCACTTGTAAAACCATTTATTATTTCATCCACACTCCATTATACAACGCTCCGAGATTATCATTTTAGCCTTAGCAACAGAGCTTGTGTAATCATTGAATGATCTATTTACTTAAATACCAGGTACTCAATACATAAATGATTCATTTAATAGTATTATGAACCAATAAACAGGTGTGTTGAGTGTAAGACAAGAAAATAAAAATTGAATGAATCTCAAATTTTTGTTTGTCTATCAAATATATTTGCGTTAACAGCTAAGCGCTTGTCTCGAGATGAAATTCTAAATTTGATTAAAAAAGAGTACGATTATGTTAGATTAATACCTAAAAAATCTTAAAATACAACTGCAGTTAGAAATAATTCCCACCATGCTGCCATCGGAAAAAATAAGAAAAGATTTTCGGAGCCTCTATAATTTCTATCTACTCCGACTCCGATACCGCCAGAGTTCGGAGGTTCTTGCAGATCTCTCGTGAGGATTAGACTGTTTGGTTTTTTGCTTTTTTTTTTGTAAAATATTTAAAAAACGAACCTCGTAGCTTGTTTCAATGGCATTTGATATTTATAATGTAAAATATGGACGCTGATATTTTTCTCGAAAGAAAATACTTTTTCTGATCAAATATGCATTACCATGAAACAGTATTTTGAAGATTATGAATGCTATCGTAACCCACCACCCTGGTAGATTCATGATGTCAAATAGGTCCATAAAATACGAGAGATCGAAATCCAGATAAGTGTAGAAATCAATTTTTTAAGACTATATTTATTTAATATTTTTGCCATAGTTTTAATTGTTAGAGTTGTATTTACACTCAATATATTGAGTGAATGATAATATCACGAAAGAGAATACAGATGCATTACGTTTGGAGCACATCATTTTATGATCGATTTATTTAACATGCCACTTTGTGTGAATAAAAAGACAAGATGCTGCTAAAAATCATGCCGATATATATAGTGAACATTATTGCCATATCAATTTTTCAGTTTTCTTCATCTCGATAAATAGATAAACACGTAGAAAGTTTCAATTTTCTGCACTGAAATAAGTTCTGTCTATTCAAACAACTCTAGATTCCAATATAACTAAACATTAGGCTCGTAATTCAGGTGCGGTTGAGTCTAATAGTGCTCAATTCAGGTGAGGCTCAAGCCTTTCAAGCCTATACGTTCGCCGCCTACGGTTTAGTATAATTAACTATCATTTTACAAGCTTTTCTAACGAGTTCATAAAAAACGAAGTAACTACAGTTTTATAGGGGCTTTTTAATCAGTGCAGAAAGATCAAAATAACTATCGTCTAGCAAGATGTTTTTGACGAATTCATATAAAAGTTGCAAGTTTATTGCGTCATTGTTTGTCTTTCTTCTTTATCTCATTTCACTCACGATTACGTGATGAACATAAATCATACACTGTTGGAAAAAAAGAGAAAATTTCCTATCAACTGATAACAAATTTGTTTATTTTCAAAACATGTTTATTGACGAATTATTCGAGAAATATAGGAACCAACATCCTCCGCTGTTTTGCTAAATTCCACGAAAAGTGCGGATATATTTTGAGGGTGCCTTTCTTTTATATACGATTCGAAAGAGGAGAAAAAGCTCTATCTTTTGGTAAAAAAATTTCTTTCTTTCAGCATCTGTCTATCGAAGAGAAATAGGGGTCAACATTTTATGCCATTACTTTTGCATCGTACGTTACTTTCAATTTATTGAGCATTATTGTATGTAGCAGAGCACCTTGTTTAATTCTCACTGTATGGAATATAATACAATCGATATATTTATCATCAGAATCACTTTATTCTTTTGAAGACAATAAAATATCACTTGGCATTGCTGTTATGATATTTACACTGCTTATAATGAACAAACAGGTGAACGATAGGACTCTTCAGCGTCTACACTATAGAAACCAACATATTCAACTTGGATGTATGTATCCAAAACAGAAATCACACGGCAGACATAGACATTGATTAAGTTGATTCATTTGTTGAGAAATATTTACAAATAGAATATTTCGTCAAAATCCTATTGTAAAAATTTTCTATCATCCGTCAAATATGGAAAAGTGCTGCGGACTTCACTATCGTAACTATCTTCTCACTTTTTATCAAGAATTCTTTATGCTTACGATTAATTGTTAAATGTTGTTATTTACCCATTTGGATCGTAGCAATAATGATTGTCAACGGAATATATAGAACGCAGTAAGTGACGAAGATATTCACATTCACAACAAGTCTAGTGCGAGTATAAGTGTGGTTGTTTGTCTTCTCATTACTCATATCTACACCTATAACGATCTCAATAATAGTTTAAAAATTTCTAAAACAAGTGTTTCCATAGACAAAATGATATACTCTACAACCTAAACAAACTAAAAAATTTTTTTGACGAAAAAGACTTTTTCTATAGAAAACTAGTTTTTCAAAACCTCTATTTTTGGAAGTTTGTAGAGACTATTGGGATTCTGATATTTGGATTCAGCTTGATTCATTCTTTATAATCAACTAGGTTTTAACTGAAAAATGATTTATCAGCTGGTGAAATTTCCTTGTCAGACTAACACACATCTTAACCTATAAAGAACATGTGTTTTCCTCAATAAAGAACAAAGATAATAAACAAATATTGTTAAATTTGCGTAACAAGCTTTTGTGATTCTTTTGAAGAAATAAACCAGCAAAATCCAAGAGTTTCAAGGAAAAAGAATAAGAAGAAAGAAATCGTCAGAAAGCAAAATTTTTCTATTAAAGGCAAAAAAGATTCTTGCATTATTTTGAATGACTCGTATTGATTTTTTTCTCAAATTCAACGATCAAAGTGTACATCTTGAAGCTCACGCTGTATCACAGTTAGATCCGTCATTGATATCCTAAGATATTTACGTGAATCAATTTTCTTGGAACGAAATATCAAAGAAGCAATTTGAGCGTATCACTGAATATCCTCTTATGGATGTAGAAATCAAGAAAATAAACAATCAGTAGAGTAATTTCCTGATCTACAATATTCTGAATCCTTCAAATTAAGTCTATTTAGTATGGTTGCATTTGCTTTATCTTCTTTCCTAGATTTGTTCATGAATATGATCCTGTTGAAGTCAACGAAATAAAAAGTACATAGCAGTGATATTTTCTTCTCTTTGATAATAGTATCAAAAGTCATTCTACAATCAAAATTTCGAAAGATCTAAATTTTCAAGCATTTTTTTGCTTTAATGAAATCTCGAATTTATTGCTAAGTAACAATGTGGTAATCAAAGGCTCCATTGTATTTTATTCAATCATAACTTTCAAATAGACATTAAAAAAATTTGACAAAAGTTTATTTTTGTCCACTCAGGAATAAAAATGTTTACAAAATTTCACGACTGTCGATTCTTTCTTTATTGAGCCTGTCTAACATATGATTTAGTGATGCGAATGTTTTGAAATCAATTTTTGTATTTAGTCTATCTTTATGAAAACAAAATTTCGCTGATCAGTATATCATGACTCACCCATCACTAATTTGTTATAAGAATGATTTGAACTGACGATCTTCCATATAAATGACTGAACTAAAATTTTCATATTTTTATTGACTCAATTACGTACATAGCCATATTATTGAAATAGAAAAATATTGAAACAATTGTTTAACAAAACTATAAAATATAGACTTAATTATGCAATAATTCTATTAAGAGAATAGCACGTTTAATTGAGAACGTTCGATATTGACTTTAATTATCAAATTTAATATATTAGTTCCAAATGTTTGGATTCGACATACACTAGTACAATACGAAAAAAGATTGTACAAATACAAGTATTTCTTTTACATATAAACTTTCTGTCAAATGTGCATTTTGGATCCAATCACGAATATTAAAATGGTTCACTTGTGAAGTTTAGGAGAAGCAAAAGTTCAAAGATAACTCATGAATAGAAAAATTCTTCGAGTTCTATCCAATACTATTTTTTGAAGATAAACGCTGTCGTTTGGCTGCAAAACTCAATGGTTGAAAACAACATCATTAAAGCAAGGCAAATACTTCAGAAACAAAAAAAAAACATTTTCTCTATCTGTTGACAGAGTTTCATTGCTTGACGAGAAAAAACTTCTGAAACATCAGTGAAAGTAAAGTGTTTTCATGAGAACGATGATACTTTACTGTCAAGAATCATTCTATCTAAATTATGAATATGTTCAATGGTCCAATTGTAAAATACTTATATTGGAAGAATACATCTCAGAGATATTATATGAAAATTTATTCCATGAAATATACTATCTATTTTGAAATTAGTTTTTAAAACACAAATCAAAATCGAAAAAAATCTTATAGTGAATTTTTGTGTTTATATTGATGCATAATGTAGATTATTTCGTAGGAAAATTACCAAGATTTCAAATATTCAATTTATCTTAATTTTATATTGTATTTAACATATTCATCAAAATGAAGGAGTAAATAGAATCAAAAAAACAAGTAACATATGAATATCGATCGAGAAGACAAAACAACGAACAGAAGCAAACATTCGAAAATTTTACACAGTAAAATTTAGAATAGTTCATTTCAAACGCTACTATGAATCCTTAAATTTTTTCTCTCTTGTAAAGATGCGTTTATCAAAATATTGTATCAACTTGGCTTGATTTTAATATTTTTCTTGCAAGTTCGTTGATACATGAACCATTGAAGATGTGAAACCGAATTAAATGGTAAGGCTCATATTTTCGGTTGCTACTAAAAATCAATATTTAATATTGTTTCTGTCGCTAATGTTTGAAATATGACTTCTTCATTTGCACTATTTTCTAATGTCGAGGATCACGGAGCGAAATGAATATGATTAATACATTGGTAGTTACCTGATGTTTGCATTTTTTTCCTTCTCTCTTCTTTTCTTTTATAATTTGTACAGAGAAGCAAAGGTTTTTATTCAAAAAAAGAAATATATACACATGACTGCAGGGTAATTGATAAATAATACGTGCCATGGTAAAGAGACGATCGTACAACGTGTAATTAAATGAGAGACGAAAAAAAAAATTTTGTGTAAGGAAGAGAGTGAAACTGATTTCAAATAAATGTATTTGACAGATGATTGGTTTGTTGCTATAAAACTTATGAGAAAACTAGCTGATGCTGTTTTAGATCGGTGTCATTATTTTTTTTCTTTCAAGCTAATGTTTTTCCTTCTTCTGAAAAATATCTTAAATATATTATTCATTAGAAATTGTTTGAAGATTAGTTCTAGGAGAAAAATATTTTTGTTGTTTTGTTTTTTGGGCAAAATAATCTATCATTTACGATGAAACTCTGTTATTATGTGTATGAATCTTTAGATGAAAATATTCGTTAGTCAATTCATTCTTCTTATCTTTGAATGTACAAGGATTATTGAAAGTTATCCCATTGGTGCACCATCTAGCATTTGTGGCCTAATGGTGCCCTCCCATGGAACCAGTTCAATGTCGTGTCAGTCGAATTATGTAATTGAAGCAAACAAGTATCAATACAGCAGTAATGATACTATTCAAAGTGAGTAATTCAATTTATCATAGTCTTCTTGATTCTTTTGATTTTTCAGTTACTGTTCGTGGTGCAACAAGTTCCGATCGTTTCAAAGGTATTCTTTTGGTTGCTAAAGATGCAAGTGATCAAAATATTTTGGGCAGTTGGTCATCAATTAATTCATCAGTTCAAGTTGTTTCTTGCGATGGTACATTGTCAAATGGCATTACGCACACATCATCAACTAATAAATCTCAAATTCAAGCGACTTGGCGTTCTCCGTCTACGATAACTGAAAAAAATATTGTTATCAAGTAAGTGTCCTTCTCTAATCCTGTCTCTACGAATAGCACTCATCAACAAAATTGAAGTAAGTAATGAGTGAAATAGTTTTGTTTTTTTTCTATCTGACGACTCCAAATCACATTAACTTTCGTTCTCAGAACCTTTCATCAAATCGTAAAAACTCTAGCTTCCATGATTTCATTATCAACATCATTCACAATATGTTTTCACACTACGTTACATAACAGTCACACAGAGATAGTTGACGTTGTATGAGTCTTTTCTTTACCTATATCCTGAAGATTTCATCGAGGTTTGTGCTTCTAGTAATCTGAAAAAGACGAGCATAGTTGAGTCTATTATTTTGCCAGTGATGTCAGATGATTTGCGTAAATCATTTTAACTTTATTCTCATTGATATGAATGAAATAGGATCATTTATTTTTACAACAATGAGAAGTTTCATTCTAATGTCCAACTTTATGATCGTTACATTTGACGTGAGAATTAAATTTCTCATCGTTGATGATAATTGATCTAATGCTATTGAAATCAATAAAAATAAAGTTAAAAGCGACTAAGAATCATTTAAATTAATAGAAAAATAACCCAATCAGTTATTTTTACCTTGTTGAATTACTGGAAACATTAGCTTTGATAGGATCATCGTATAAATTAAGTTTTCATTTGTGATGAAGATGGAAACAGCTAATATAAAGTGAAAATTCATGAATATATGATTTATTGGTGGCTTGTATGTGATATCATTCGGAATTAAACTAGAACCATTCTTAGTGATCTAGTAACGAAAGCTAGAGTTATTAGAGTTTGTTGACCTTTCTGAAAATGAAACTCAATCAGTTCTTGTTATCAAGTAGTGAATTTTTTTAGGAAAAGAAAATGTTTCATAACTAAAATAAATTCTTAGAGCAACGATCGTTCAATCATTCAGCATGTTTTACGTCAATTGTTTTAGCATTACACTGACTCCTAAAAGTGTAAGTCATCTAATTGACTAAAGATTCTTCTTTCGTATTTAATTTATGATAATTTCTTTAGATCTCTTCGACAAGCATACATGATGTTTCATCTACAACTACCGCTGCAGTTTGGCAATCATCTAGTGTAGAATTCAGATATCGTTTTCATGTTTTTAAGATTTTAAAAATATGTTTGCCATTGTCTTTCAGACATTAATATCATCAGTAAATACCACGACTACACTCTATTCACAAGTGACTGGTACAGCACTCAATTTGAACTGGACATATTTTGGCGAAATAACAACTGTTGCAATCGAGACTAACAATCTCGGAACATCCCAATGGCTCGGCATCGGCTTGTCGCTTGATGATAGAATGGTATAGAACAATAGGAGTCTTTTTTTTTTCAATCTTTAATTTTGTTTTTTTTTTCGTAGGGCGAGGATCATGTATTTATGTGTCAACGCTTGAATGACGATACAATTCAACTTCAACGTTTCATCAATACTGGTAGTTATTCGTTTCCAACTATAGTTACTGCTGATTCAAATTATGGTGGCATATTTAAAGTAACACGAGTAGCTCTGAATAATGGTATGGTCTACTGTGAATTTACTCTATCAAATTTTACTACTACAGCCAGTCGACGAAGAAAACGGAGCATTTCTTTACTTTCACAAAATATTCAATATCATATTCTTGTGGCTGTAGGACGTCTAGATAGTTCAAGTAAGATGCTTTTTTCTCCCACAGGAAAAATAGATTGAACTTTTGTTCATATTAATATAATAGATTCATTAATACAACATACCTCAGCAAGTGTGCTAACGCAAATGATTCAACTCAATCAATTAGGAACAGTAACAATGATAAATTTTCAAAGTTTAGACGATGACAGAAGAAATTTAATGCGAGCTCATGGTATTATTATGTTATTTATTTGGATGCTATTTATTTCGACAGGTATTCTTATTGCTCGATATTTTAAACAGTCTTGGCCCCAGCGAAAACTTTGCGGTAAACCAATATGGTTTTTTGTACATCGATCAGTTATGACTTTTGCTGCAATAATGACGATGATTGCATTCACACTCATTCTTATATATAAACGAGGTACATGGACTTCTCAAAATCTATCGCGTGAATTTGTTCATTCAATCATTGGAATGCTTGTTGTTAGTGCTGCTTTTATCCAACCGACGATGGCTCTATTTCGATGTCATCCTGATCATCAATATCGATTTATTTTCAACTATGCACATGCTATAGTTGGCATTGGTGCATGGATGCTCTCGATTGTGACTATTTTTCTTGCTACTTTATTTCCTATATTTAATTCTGTAATGAACAAACCTTGGCGAATTCTTGTGGCATGGTTATCGGTGGAGTTCGTTATATTGATCGGCTTCGAGTGTCTTGAACTTTTCAACCGCAAGCATTGGCCACTATTTAACGTTAAAAATGTAAACAAGTCTTTGGAAATGAATGTTGTCAATAATGGTAGCGAGTCTACATCGATTGATGATCGATCATCTTCAGAAAATATACTTAAAGAACGAATAAAAACTTTCCTTCTTGCACTTCACATTCTTGTAGCATTTGGTCTTTCGCTCACGCTCGCTGTCGGTGTCGGACAAGTTTCTTAAATGAAAGTTTAGAAACATAATCCAAGGTTATCGATATAAACGAAAAATTTCTATGTACAATTCAAATGTAGTTATATCTTGATCATTGCTTTTTTTTTTACAAGATTTTTTGATGCTCTATGATAAGCTCAAAGCTAATTAAAAGACTTGATTCTATGAGTATTATCGACTGTAAATTCATAATACCGATGCTATCACTATTGGTAACGAAGAATGAAGGTGCATAAGTGTGGCTTGCATCTTTGATAATACAGTCGTTGGTATCTGATGTCAAAACAATTGCGATTTTGTTCACAATAGTAAAGTCGACGATTAATGATGAGTATGGATAGGTATAGATGTAGAAGTAGGTGATAATAAGACACATTCAAGCTCTATTGATAAACTTGATGTTGTCTATGATAAAATATCAAGTAAAGAAGAATTTATTACAGACTAATGATTCTAAATAGTATAAAATAGTCTTTACTAAAATTTTTTTCTCTATTTAAAATTAATATAAGTATCACTACAAAGAGAAGACGTGAAGCAATTTCATATGAGTAAATGACATATTTGCAAATCTAGTTCTATAAAAAAATTCAAAATATACGATAAGATGTTTAAAGATCTATCTTAAACATGATTTGTCATTGACTATAGTGTTCACTCATTAATTTGAATAGTTTCAATTTATTTTTATTGACGACAATATGGATAAGATTTATTTCTCGAATTTTGTATTATTATTATTTTTTGTTTTTTTGAAGAATATGATGATGATGATAAAATTTTGATCGGATTATATAAATAAAATCATTAAAATTGATAAAATTAAAAAAGTGACTAGATCAATTAATCAATGCAGTTGTTTGTAATTCAGAGATCGAATCGAACTGACTTTCGCAGGTTTCAGTTCAATTCGATTCTTGAAAGGTGTCGTATTTTTTTTTGTAAATTTATTTTAAACTAAAACTGTTGCCAATATAAATTTAAATTAAATAAAAATCTTTTTTTAATATAAAAATTTTAATTTAAAATAATTTTAGATTTAAAATTTTGAGAAATAATATTTGAAAATAATAATTTTTTGTGAATTTAAATTTAATAATTCAATCGTCAAAATACATGACTTCAAGAAAAATAGATTAAAAAAAAAGGGAGAGAAACTGCTTTCATACGTTAATATTCGAGCATCACTATAGAAGATTCTGTAAGAAAACGGCTGCACTCGGTTTCTGTTATTTTTTAATGGTAATCTAAGGCTTGTACAAATACATTTGCTGAAGCTTAAAATACTTCAAATATATTTAGATGTAATTTAAATTATTTTGAAGTTTATTGAATTTTTTTAAATTTTATATAAATTCGATTTAAATTTAAAATAAAATGAAATCTTCTACAATGTATTTCTTGATTTGATAATTTTTTATAAATTTAAATTGTTTGTTCACAATCCCTAATGTAAAATGTTCGATCAAAAATCGTTTGATAATCTCTCATACAGCATCATAATTTTACAAAAAAAGATTATGACTCAATTAATCATTTTTCTTATGTATTTGTTCATATTTATTTGCTTTTCAAAAATTAGTTAGATTAAGTTCGATTTCTGTATCTGTTTATAATATATCATAGATTGAATAATCTTTCATTGTTTCTTATTTGTCAATCTTTTTATTAGGTTTTGAGTCATAATTATGTACCTAAACATGATGTATTCAAACAAAGAAACAGTTCTTGATTATCTATCTAGTATTAATGATAGAGTCAGTTGTTGTGTTAAAATATCGTTTCTTTTTAATTTTGAATTCTCATCTAAAAATTTTCTTTCGAAATCATCAAATGATTTTCTAAGAATACAAAGATTTTTCGTTATCATCAATAAATAAAGGATTCGAAAACATAATTAGAACAGATGATAGATTTATTTTGTTGTTTATTAAAAATATCTAATGCAAATAATAAGATCATTGAATAATTGTTGTTGTTGTTGTATGAAATCTATTAACTTGCAATGTGCTATTTATTTATTAATAACAATTGATAATTGTGTACCAGAATTAATGAACTATGGTGATGAACTTCTAGTAGATGAAAGGAAATGAGAAGTCATCGAAAATGGACATAAAGTTATTTTAGTTGAAATACCTATTGATGATCAAATATTTTGCATAAATAGAACTGTTCTAGAATCTTATCATGAAATCTTGTTTCATATTGAATTCTAGCAAGTTACTCATTAAAATCATGAATTTGAGAGGGTGTGGAACTTTTTGATATTCTTTTACACCCATATCCTTCATTTCAAATATAGTTATTTTCTTTTACAAATGAAAAGATTTATATCTTTGGAGATTTTTCTCTAGCATATATCTATTCATGTCATACTTGAAAATACAAGCCATTATTGAACTCCCATTATTCTAAACAGATGCAAGATTGAATTGTTCTATTCATTAGGATGAATTTATTCACTGCTGATGAATGTTTCTTTTTGTCGGAATACATTTAACTAATTTTTATTCTTTCGTCTAAATCGTTTTTAATAATTGTCTGATAATAAGACAAAGTGACAATCCTAGTCCCCTATTATCTGCTTTAGTGTATATACCATCAAAATTATTCTTAATACTGATGGTCCAACCGATAGCTTCGAATTTCACTTATCTATTTCGACGGCTGCTTTTCTTTAGTTATGTTTCAAACGTCATGACACATGTGTTCGATCTATTCAAGTACTAACATCAAGTATTCAATAATCAAAAACTTTGTTTTTTTATTTTGAGAGAAAACAGTCATATTTATCAGTCAATTCCTGAAAAAACAAAGAAATTAATTTATTTCCAAAGATAAAGAAAAACAACATGACTAATATAAAATTTTTATTTCAACAAATAAGAGAAAAAAAATCAAAATATATTACTTAATGTGATTCAATACTAAAGAATAGCAAAAAATATTTTTCGATAGTTTGAATACATGTATACGATTGCAAGATGACGATATTTATGTAAATAAATTGCACTTTCTCATTCAGCTAGTCGTATAGTCAACATATATACATAAATGACAAAGTAATCAGTTAAAAATTATCATTCTATTGGTCGTTAAAAAACATATGCGTTGGTTTGTCTGTATATTTCATACATCAATAATTTTCAATTAAGAAAATGTAATGATTACCTATATGATAAAAAAATCATGGGAAAAAAACAAGTAGAAAAAAAGCGTAGTATACACGTGCGTTGATGCATTATACCACATTGAAAAATCCAACCATAAGGCCAATATATTTATATCAAAATACTTTATTCGAATATTACTATTCATACATATATGACTGCTGCAAAAAAAACGAGCGCTCAAACAAAAGTCCATAATTTGGAAACATTTTCTCTTCTTTGGCTTGATGCAGAAGTCAATACAACAGAAGACAACAAGCGAGCACAAAAGCGACTTCGTTCAATCATCAATCATCTCGAAATATTTCATGATCAAAATGAATGTCAACAATATATTAATTCTTGTTCTGAACATGATCGAGTTGTTCTTATCATTAGTGGCCGATTAAGCAAAGAATTAATACCTCAGCTTCACAATCTTCGACAAGTTTCTGCTTTTTACATCTATTGTTGGGATAAAAAAGCATATAAAGATTGGGCTAAACAGTTTAGTAAAGTATGAAACTTTTGTGTTTTTGTATTTCGATATTTTAATCATTTTCATTTACTTGTTTGAAGATAAAAGGTGTAGTCGTTCAACTTGATGATCTCATTCAACAAATCACAATGGATCAAAAAGATCGAGGAAAAGTAGAAGAACCAATGTGTATGAATTTTTACAATGTTAGTGGTAATGTAGATAAATCAACAACTGACCTCAATGGTCAATTTATTCATTCTCTATTATTAATCGACGTTCTCATTAGAATGAAATCTAGTGACGCTGACAAAAAAAAACTGATTCAACTTTGTGAAGAAGAATTTAGTGACAATGATCATCAACTAGAAATTGTTCATGAATTCGAAGGTTACTATAAGCCTAAAAAAGCTATATGGTGGTATACTCGTGATGCATTTGTATACAGAATGTTAAACAAAGCTTTGCGAGTGCAGAACATTGAATTATTATTATTATTTCGCTTTGTAATTCATGACATTTATCAGCGACTCACAAAGCACCAATGTCAAGATACTGTTCGTGTTTATCGTTATCAAGCTATGTATGCTGATGAATTTAATACTCTTCAAAACTCGATCGGGCAATTTATCTCAATTAATTCATTTTTTTCAACTAGTTCTGATCGTGATGCAGCATTAAAATTCATGAAGCGTACGACCATTTCGAATGACTTACGTGGAATATTATTTGACATTGAAGCTGATCCACGTGTTGTGAAATCAAAACCATTTGCTGATATTAGTTCATTGAGTTATTTCAGTCAAGAATCTGAAATATTATTTATGGTTGGATGTATATTTCGTTTGATCAATATCTATCCAGATGATAAAGAAAACATTTGGATAATTAAAATGCAGTTAGCAGAAAATAATGACAATGAGTTGAAGAAGCTTTTCGATCAGTTGAAAGCAGATTATGGAGGTGGCGAGAACGAAGCTGATCTTAAGTTTTTTGGTGATGTACTTCAACATATGGGAAAATATGATTCGGCAGAAAAAGTCTATATCGATGTACGTAAGAAGTGTTCTCCTGATGACACTTCATATGCTCATTTATGTTACTCATTTGGTGTACTGTATTCAAACAGAAAAGATTTTAATCGTAGCCTACAATGGTTTCAAAGAGCATTGGACAGAAAAATTCGTACGGAACCATCTGATTTGATCTACATTGCTGGTCTGCACTGTTGTATTGGGAATATTCATATGGAAAAGAATAACTTTGATGAAGCAA